ATATTTAGTGATCAAACTTGGTGTTCACCGAGATTTTCCCACAAATCACAAGCATTCATTCCATTTCAGATCCTTCAAAATATCAACCCATCAGTTACTGATACAGAATCCAGATATCTGTTATTATAACTAGTCAGAAAATAACTATGTAAATGTTCAGAGGTTGGGACACAGGCTTAGCTATATTACTGTGTAAAGTGACGCCCTGCTGAGAACTACCTGGCTGTGACGGACTGTCCCATTTGCCCTTATGACTGCACATAGACCCCAGTGCTTTTGTGAGAGCCAGCTGTCCTGACTGAACACAGCAGTAGTCCCCAGAGGACTGCTATGTATGCAGAAAAAGTACTTAGGAAAACCTAAGGCCTCTAAAATTCTAATAAAAAACGTGCAAAGCTGACTTCATACCAATTCTAGGGTGGATGACCAATGTAAAAAAACAAAAGTATATTTTCTCTTGACACAGACCAAAGAAAATTGTAATTGATCCACTGGGTGAGATGTCCTGAAACAGCTATTCTGCAATGAACCGGAACATTGAAGAAAATGGTGCAAAAGTATATTTTCAATAAAACCAAAGTACGATAATGGAAAAAATACATCCCAATATCTAAAGAAGTCATGTTGATTTTAAGAAAGACTTTGTGTACAGAAAAGGGAAGTTTCTCTTAAAAATTCCACATATATTAGACTGGTTTTCTATTCAAAAGCAGTTGGATTGAAATATCTATAAATCAATTAATCAAATCTTATTTGTATAGCACATTTCAGCAGCAAGGCATTTCAAAGTGCTTTACATAATTAAAATAAAAACAGAATGTAATAAACAGTGAGAAAGAGAAAGAGATTTTGAAAACAAATGATTAAAAAAGATAAAAACATTAAAACCCGCGCCCCTTTTAGGACTTCAGTTAAACCTTGTTTAACTGGGACTCAAATCCTCTGGGAATTTAGTCAAAAACACCGTTTGACAAGGACTCCAGCCTCTAGGTTTTTAAGACTTTAGTCAAAACGCCATGTGACAAGGACTCTAACCTCTAGAGCTTTAGTCATAAAAACATAATGTGTTATGATCCGTGTGTTTGAGTGTTTATTTTTGACATTTTCTGTGCTTCTGTCCTGTCCTCCCCGTTGATTGTCCCCCAGGTGTGTCTACTTACCTGATTACCCTCCCTGTGTATTTAAACCCACCTGTGTCTGTGTTCTTCGTCGGGTCCTTGTCTAACATTGTCAAACCTTTGCCTGTTTCCTCGTGTCTCCAGTTGTTCCTTCGTGCTGTTCTGCTGGATTTATTTTCATTAAATTTATTATTTTTTCATCTACCTGGGTCTCAGCGTGCAATCCTCACTATAACCACACCGCTTCATGACATAATGTGTAAATATAAAAGAGTGCAACAAACGTTATTGCGGTCTAGCTGAAAATAAAACAGTACGCATTCACGACATACATAGATTGCACTAAAAGTAGAATGAATGCACATTAAAGTTTCAAACATTATGGATTTCAAAGAGCTGGAGCACCAAACCATGGCACACAGCAGTTTAACTAAACTAAACTATCATAAAAATCCAAAAAAATGCAAATGCAAAAATTTTAATTTGGTTTGTAAGAACGCACCTTTACAGCATCCAGCTGTTGGTTGATCACGTCTGTCTCCAGGCTGACCGCCTCCTGGGAAGCCTCCCTGGCCACAGCTCTGAGCAGTTTATCTCCCACGTGATGCACTTTATCATACAGTTCCTCCAGCTTGGCAAGAGTACTTTGCACCTGGACTTCTCTCGCCTTGGATCGGTCCATGAGTTTGCTGCACTGTTTGCTCAAAGCGTCCAGGTCCCGCTTCAGGCCCAACAGGTCCGGCGAAGAGTCAGACTCATTCAGCATTTTCTTACAACTGTCCCCAGCGTTTGATGTGTTGGCCATCAGCTCCCGCAGCTTCGCTGTGAAATTCTGAATGCTCTGCTGTTGCTCTTTAAGGGTGGCCAGGTCTAAATCCACTGGAGACATGTTGTCGAGCTCGTCGTCCAGTTCAGTGAAACGGGTAAACATCTCACGAATGCTGTTTTGGAACTGTCCAATGCCCTGCAGCTTACTCTCCAGCTCTTGGCATGCTTCCTCCAGTTTTGTGTTAAGATTGCTGTAGTCCTTTTCTAGGCTATCGGTCTGGAGCAGGAGATCAGTCACTCCTTCAGCATCAGGGACATCTACTACAAGGTCCTTTGCCAAGGTCTTCATGTGCTCCACTTGGTTCTGCACTGCCTCTAAGCTCTTATGTTGGGCTTTCAAGTTTGTAAGGCTTTTGTTACTGTGTGCCTGAACCCCTTTTGATTCAAATGAATCAACCTGATTCTTAGCTCCTTCGAGTTGACTTTGTGCCTCTTTGTAGGCATCATTAAATTCTTTAACAGTGTGCGAGATTTTCTCCAAGTGTTCCTTTTTGACCTGGAGTTCTTCCACCAGTTTGTCTAGTCTTGCACCAATACTGTCTTTCTCCTCTGTTATAGCTTCAGTGTCTGTGTTGGCAACCTCCAGAAGGCTTTCGGCACTTGTGTTGAGCTGCTCCACCAATCCTCTGTGCTTGTCAACATCCTTCTGGAGAGCTTTTACCTGAGAAATGGAGCCCTCGATGGCAGCGGGGTCAACAGTGAGCGTGATACGACCCTCACTGGCTGCACAGTCCTGAATCCAGGAACTCAGCTTCTCTGCACTCTCCTGAAACTTCTGAGATCTCAGCAGGGCGGATTTCAGTTTGTCAGCCTGCTCTGCGGAGCTCTTCTTCACTTCCTCCCAGTTGGAAGATAAAGTAGTCAGCTGTCCTTGTAGCGCCACCTTTTCCGCCCCATCAGTACTCTGCAGCAACGTCTCCCCTTTTCCTCTGATCGCATTGTAAGCTTCTTCGTGTTCCCTGAGAGACGTCTGGTGCTTCGTGTGCTCCTCCAAAGCTTGTTGCAGGACGTCCACTTTGGCAGAGATGGGCAGAGACGCATACTGGTCCTGGAGCTTCTCGGCCAGCCAAGATTGGAAGTCTTTGGAGGTTTGATGGAACTGCTGAGAGCTTGCAAAGGTCGAGTTCAGCTGCTCAATCCGTTTAGCTGCAAAACAAAAACACATAAGAATTCTAAAACACCTTTTTTGATATTTTAAAGCAAACACAGGGATGCACCAGTCAGAGTTTGGTGGCAGATTATGGAATCTCCACTTTAAAAAAAAAAAAAAAGCTCTGACGGCTTGATATTAATTTTAGCCAATTGCAATATCTCTCGATCTACGAGTAACGGGTTTCGTAAAAAAACAATACTTCTACCAATCCCACCATGAACAGGGATCCATAATATGTGTTAGACACAAGTGCATAAACAAACTTTGCATTAACATTTTAAAACAAAGACAAAATTACTTAATTTAAATTTGAGCTATTTAAAACGCACTACAAGGTTAGCTGCTTGTTCCTTGACAAAAAAGAAGTACAAGTTGGAAAAGATAAAACTGTTTTCTGCTAAATACCCACTTTCACTCCAGCAGTATGAATGAACTTTCTCTCTAGAAGATATAGCTCTCTTACATATTTTGTATTTAATCTAGCCAGAAAAATTCACCAAATAGGAAAATAGCTTACATTGATTTATTTCCACTCAGTGACAACTTACACATGAATGAGTTTTGTTAGGGCTTTGATGTGGCGCGTTTACCAGTGCTGTTTAATGAAATGAGGCTGCTTTGAGTTTTCTCCCGCACTAACACCTTCAATGCTGAGTGTTGATGTGGTTAGTGTTGTGTTTTCTCTTTGGTGTGATACGTTCTTTAGATGGAAAAAGATTGTGTTTTTGAGATTTCAGTTGGCCTCTTACTGGTAAGAGCCAGTTCATATAAAAATAGTCAAATCGAGTCATTAAGGCAATTTTTTCTGGTGCATCTCTACAAAAAAAAAAAAAAAAAGCATTCTGCGATAAAGTTGAAACACCAACCTGCTTTGTCCTCCAGCTGTTTAAATGGCTTGTTGACGCTCTCCAGTTGCCTAACCAGGTCAGCTTTGAGATAGTCTTCAGTCACCAACGCTGAGAGCTCCGCATTGATGGCCTCAGCTTGTTTCAGCTTCCTCCTCTCCTCCCTCAGCTGAGCCGAGATGTTTTGGACGTCTTCCAGCTGCTTCTTCACGGCGTCCGGCTGGGTGCTGCTGCTGTGATGATTGGTCAGCTGATTCTCCAGCTGAGTGGTCGTGTTGCTGAGGCTCCTCAGCAGCTCCTGAAACTGCCCCGTCTTCACCACCGCTTGGTCGATGAGGCTGTCCCGCTGGTCCAGCTGTCCAGTGAGGCCCTGCCATTTTTGGGAGATGGAGGCAAGTTTTTCCCCCACCAGTTTCCCACTTGAGGGATCCTGGTTGCCTGCTGAGCTGAGGATGGCAGAGGCTGCTTCTTCGAGTCGCTCGTGTTGAGCTTTACGGCTCTTGAACTCATTCTGCAGAATCTGGAGAACACAGATTTTTTTTTTTTTTAAATTGTTGAGCTGCTCATTCCTACTACAGTCAATTTTTCTTTTTCTTTTTTTTGTTGCCGTTTTTGCAAACCTGCACTTGTTGCTTCTGCATTTTAAGCATGTTGGGGTCAATAGAGAGAGGTCCAAGAACACCCATCATCAGCTCCTTCTCTGAGAGCCACTGGCTGAGCTGCAGCTCTGTGGTCTGGAAGATTTCTAGATTCTTGTTGGACTCTTCCAGGTTCTGCTTCCTCTCTTCCACCGAGCCACTGATTTCCGTCCATGCAGCATCTACGGAAGAAGCCAAGAAAAACAATGGCACTCTGTATTAGTAAGCACAAACACATCTTTCTGACCTCTGCCACTTTGTTGAACTCCTATTGTGCACATCTTGGCACCAGAAATGTGTTATTTTTGTTTATTTAGAGCACAAACTGAGATCATACCCCATTATGTTAACACACACTGCAGTTTTTAGACAATAAGCTGACAGTGTAACATAAGGCCTAACATACCTGTAAGCGTGTCAGTGACATAAATAAATGCTATTTACACATACCTATTTCTGCAAGCATCTTCTTCCATTTTTCTGCTTCGGGAGAGCGTGGATTAGCTGAGATCAGACCCTGAAGCCTCTCTCTTAGTTTCTGGAGCTGCTCTTGCTTCTGTTTCATGGCATCTTCAAATGTCTGTGAGAGTTAAATAATTTATAAAATGTTTCCACGAACACCACTTCTTTTCAAAGTAAAATAAACAAAACAAAAGAACATTGGCAAAGTCAACATGAATGCTTTGCTTGATGAGCTGAAAAACATCTTTACCTTCTGTTGTTCGAGCTGCGTCCCCACAGAATCCTTCTCAGATGCTGCAGTGTTCCAGGATGATGTCGTCTTTTTCATGTCCTTCAGCCATGTCATCATCTCCTCTGTCCCCTTCTGGGCCTCTTTCACCTCCTGTAGCGCACTACTTAGCTGCTCCACACGGCTTTTCAGTGTTTCTCCAAGGTTTGTGTATCCCTCACTGACGAACGACATGTTCTGCTGGATTCCCATCAGTTCTGAAGATATCATAAATAAACCTTTTAATCTCCCCTCAGCAGTTCTATCTATGACAGTCTATCAATAAGTTAATCCTTAATTAGAGCAGGGACTACATATAACATTAGACATATCAAAGTGAGACCAAATAAACTTATAAGGGTCTCACTGAAAAATATGTGTGTGAACAAACTCGGTGCCTGTTGAGTTTTGATGCAACTAAAAATAGTCATAAGCCTGAATTTGTTACAGCAGTTTTTGTTACAGTAAAAAATATATATATTTTGGGTTATTGCTGCAACCCAAGATGATCTATTAGACTGTTCCTACAATTTAGAGTTTGATAATGCCCCTCCCCCGCCTGTTGCTAAGGATGGCTGGAGAGCTGGATGAAGAATGCAGCTATATTCCTTATTGCCTACAAGAAAGACTAATCCGGATGATTGGAACTGTCACCAGTCCTCCAGACTAATAAATGAGTTAAGATGAGTTTATTATGTTTGTGCTGCAGCATTGGAAAGCAGAACAGCAAAATATTTGGGAAAAAATTGGAATCAAAAGCACTAAAAACCTCTATGCAGCAGGTTTCTGTTTAACTCTACTGACTGAAATCCAAATAACCTTGAATAAATGTAAGGACAGCATTATAATAGCACTAAGAAGTAGGAAAACAAGTTTGCTGTTCTGCTTTGAATAAAACAGAAAAGCATCTATTCTGTATTAGAATGTTGATGTTCAATGAAACAAACTCATTTTTATTCAAAGTTAGCATCTGGTGAGAATCCCGTAACACAGTCTAAAGCCACTGCACTTCAACACAGAAATATCACAGTTCACCACAAACAGAGTTTTCTCCACACTAGCGTCCGCTCTTGGTTACCTTTATGGGTTAGGTAGGTATGGCCTGCTGGACCACCACCATTAGTTAGAGCTGATGCAAAGACAAAAGACAAGAGATGAAAAGCAGAGCACTGACTGCCAGGTTTGTTGATATAAGTTCTTGCACAGTTAGTCTTACAAAACAACACAAGTCATCCCAAACACCATGCCTCCTCGCCTTCTAAATAATTCAGAATATGCGAGATGGATGGAAACCCTTACCGGACTTGTTGGGGGTCTTTGTCCTGGCAGGGGACGTGAGCGAAGTGATCAGGCTGCACAGCGCCGACCCTTTACTATTCAGGTCTTTGACTGCAGAGTCTTTGGTTTTCCATTCATCAAGCAGCTCCTAATGAAAACAATTTATAATTCAAAACATTTAAAAATCAAACCATGATGACTGAAGGTATACTAAATGTATACGCTGGAACTCTCCAAGCAGTGTTTTGTATGATGCATTTTGTGATGAAGTGTGCTGAAAACAGCCTCTCAGCTAGATAACAGTGTTTTACTCCTTGGTCGTCTCTGTGTAAACACTCACTGTTCATCTGTCATTAACTGGCAGAGAAAGCAAGCTGGGGCTGAAGGGAGGTTAGGGAGGACGAGGCTAATATCTGTTAAAAACATTTTTTCTGTAACAGATGTGATGTACCTTGTAATCTGCGACTTCTGTTCCTACATTTTAGGCACACTTAGATGAATACAAGTGCTGAAGGAATAAAATAGTTTCTACTATGTGATATTAATTTACATCAGACTTACATTGACTATCTGCAGGTCTTTCTCCAGTTTTTTCTCACTGCTACTTGGCTGAGTGGCAGGCACTTTGTCATTGGTTTCTTCCAGCCATTTGGTGAGCATGCAGACCGCAGACCTGAACTCTCCCAGCTGGTCCTGACAGGACGATAGCTCTTCTTCCCTGCAATAGTCAAGGAAAGTCAGTCAGAGCGTAGCGTAAAGTGATCTGAGCACTGACGAGCTGCAAAGTGTTCTTTTATTGCACTTACTTTTCGTTCACTGTGTTCTTGAAGGTGCTAAAAATATTTGAGACATTTTCAATCTTGCTCTGAAGTTGAGCTTTGCTTCCATCCGGGCTTATTTCACACAACTCTCTGCACAGAGTCTGCAGCTTCTCCATATCACTGGCATATTCAGCCATCTCCGCCTTAGTGCTCTACAGGGAAATACAAACGTAAAGTTTAAGTTTCATGTGAAAAAAAAAAAAAAATAACACTGAAAATGTTACACTAAACAAACATTATGCACACCTGCATTTGCTGAGACAGTTCACCAAAGGTTTTTCCAGGTCCGTCTGTTTCATCCAGTTCTTGTGACCGCCTCGTGACAAACTGCTGGACCTTATCGGTGACTTTTTCAAACTCTTCCACTTTTTCTTTCAGCTGCTCCAGTTGGGAAACTTTCTGCTTGTGCCTGTCACATGCATCAGAGAAGCGCTGGGAGAGAGCGTCCATCTTTGACTGCAGGAGCTCAGCAGTGGAGGGATCGGCCGTCTCCACAAACTTCTTGACTTTGGCTTTGATGGCTGAGATGCTGCTCTGGCGGCTCGCTATGTCCTGCTCTATTGCCTGATACAAGTTTATTTTATAGTTAAAGGGACTGCAGACAGCTGTGATGTGAAAGCTATCAATGAGTAGGTGGTAAAAAAAACTTACTGCTTCTCTACTGAGCATGTCCCCGAGAGACGTAGAATCCAAAGGTATTTTGTCTTCGTCCTTCACACTTGCCTCCACTCCCTCCATCCACCCAATCATCTCATCCAAGCCATCCTGCACACTCATAGATCGGGTCAGGGTGATTTGAAGTTTCTCGTTTCGGTCACTCACAGACTTGGAAAGGTTGTCATAGCGCTCCACAATGTCTTCTGCAAAATGGAGACAAGGCAGCTCGTTTGTTGTGCTTCAAACTGACCTAATAAATTCCTCTCTTCCTCGGCTTTAGTCCTCAGTTGCTAATCTTGTTGACGTAAAACGTCATTGCCACCAATTTGTTGGTGATTTGTTTGTGCTCCATCATTTGTTGTTGTAGCTGTTAGTGTAATGTTTTTTGTTGTTTTTTTTTTGTACTATATGCAGCCTGAAACATGAAAATTAACTTTCTCCCTCTTGGCTTCAACAGACAAAAGATTGGGTTTCCATGCAGACAAATCTGCCTATGCTTACCGACTGTCTCCTGTATCTCATCCGGGTTGCTCAGGAGGTTTCCTTCTGATGTCACTAATGACTCGGCTGTTTTATGTAACATGTCAACGGCCGTCTGGTGCCCCATCATCTGACCCTGTAAAGCCTGCGGATTAGTAGAGGACAAATCAGGAAAAACTCAATTCTCAACCTCACATTTATATTTTTACTTGTGCAATGGGAAAAGAAAACAACTGATTGAAAAGGTTTAATCCTTTAAAGCCTTATAGAACAAATAATAGCCATAAAAATTGTTTTTCTCAATCTTCCCCATCACATAGACTTAGAAAAAAATTTTTGTCATAATTGATTCCATAGATTAAGATCTATTTGATGTCAATGTATTAATTTATCAACATAACATATGTTTTCTGTAAACATATCTGCATCTCTGACAGATATGTTTCAATAAGGATACACTTGGCATTAAAAAATAACAGCTCATTCTAGGCATATGAATTAAAATAACCTTTCTGCTTTGACATGAAAACGTTAAGGCTTCCAGTATTTTTGAGATGGCTAATATTTCAATCTCCAAGTCCTAAGCTCATTCCTTGGCTTACAGCCGCCTCTTATCACAGCATATCTATGCAATAATTCACCATCTCCCTGTAGAGAAATGTTAAAGTCGACTGCAGTGAAAAGCTTTCACACAGATAGCTTTGTCAGTCTGTTCTTGTTTCCTTTTTGCAAGAGTATCCAAGCTACAAATAACCAGAGTGAAAACTATTTATGTGTGTGAACGCACTGAGCCAGAAATAGCTCTGTTGTATTTTAGATGGTGGAAACACTGTATAAGGTAAGACAGAGCTATTCTGCAGTGACTTTAAAACCCAGTTAATGCTTTCAGATGAACATGTTATTTCTAAATAAAAATCTACTCAGAACTGGATTTATACTAGAAATGCATTTTGCTTTGATGAAAATTATAAATACAGGCAACTTGAAGCTCTGGATAAAGTAAACTTAGGCCAAACTAAAAAAAAACAAAAAAAAAAACACAAAAATTAAGAGTGTTAATAACATTTTTAAAGAATGAAAAAGCTAAAAGTCTTTTAGAAAAAAAAATTGAACTTGAAAAGAGAGTTAAATCGTTAAATCCTTGCCTTGGTCTCCTCCAGCTGTTTCTGCAGTGTTTGTGGGTCAGCTGCGATGGCTTCTGACTGCTGCTTTCTCGCCTCTTCCTCTGAGTTGTTGAGCCACTTAAGAAGACCCGTACTTGAATCATCGTACTTTTTGTACTTGTCAACCACTTCCCTGAGGTTGTTGCCAAGCAGGTTGCACTAAAATGAGGTGGATACATCCAAAAATTGACTACAAAGGATCACATGAAACTAGAACATATAATCAAATGAGAAATAGTCATTGACCACTAAAAAGCATTATAAAGAACTGCTACCACCCAGTGGCAGTTTTAAGCAACTGCAACCAACAACATGAAAACGAAATACCTGTGAATGCAGCGTTTTGTACCGACTGGCTGCTGAATCCAGTTTATCCTTGACAGCCGTGCAGGTCCCTGAAGTGTCCACGTGTAGCAAAGTGTTCTTAAAAGTAACATCAGACAATCCGCAGGCTTTAGCCACGTCCAACACCTTCTGTCCTGACATCGTGATGAAGCGAAGGTCTCCCTTGTGCGAAATGACATCCTCTGAGAAAATGTTCTGCTTCTGAAGTTTATCACTCAGGATGTTAAGGGAACCTGCAGGAGCTCCCAGAGATTCGATCTCTCCTTCTGCCTGCTTCAACCAGTCTTCAAACTCTTCACAGTCATCCTTGAACTTCTTCACCTCCTCCTGGACTGACTGCACCTGCTTCATCTGCTGTTCAGCCTGAGTCAGTGAGGCCTCGTAGCGCTCCTTCAGGTCTTGGATGTTTCTCTGCAGCCTCTCCTTCTCCTCAGGAGACAACATATTAGCTTGTTTGTCGAGCAAGGCCTGAGCGGACCGTGTGGCCATGATCAGATCCTGTTGCTGGGACAGAATTTCCTGATGGTGGGCCTGTGGAAAACAGAAGTATTATCACAGCGATAATTCATCCATTCATATTCAGCTTCTTGCCTTAAAGGCAGGGAGTACCTTCAAATCAACAATTTGTAGAGTTTTCTTTTGTTACAATTACAGCTGCAAGTCTCTTGCACAGAACACAGTCAGTTTTCCAGATCTACCATCTCTCACTCAATGTTGGTCTCAATTAATAAAGAAAATCTAACTCCATGTTACAAACTTTAAGCGTCACTTCTTATACATTTTGTCATCTTAACATTGTCCCCATTCTACCAACTTGGTAACTTCCTAGTGCAACTGGTTGCACTGGATTTTATTTTCGGGTATTCAAGTAAACAGGGCTGAATATTAATGCCGCCACAATTTTTATATTTGTCAGTAAAACATTATGTACAATCCCAATAAAATGTGCAAAACACTGCAAGTCTTTTATAGTCTTTTTCTAAGCTTTGTCCTTTTATTTGATACTTTGTATGAACAGTTTGTAATATAACCATTTTAGGACTCACTGTGATTTCATCTACGACTGCAATTCATTACTTCTTGAAAGTTGTCCATTTTATAAAAAGTGAGGTAAAGACCTGGCTATGCACTTAATATTCGATCTAAAACGTCTAAAGTCTGTATACAACATGAAGTAGACTGGGAAGTATTACAAGCGTAACATTTTTGGAATAAACAAGCTGTACCTTGACCCGGTCGTACTGTTTATCAAGGTCCAGGGATGCAGCGTTCTCCTCTTTGGAGTCGCTGCCAAAATCCTTTTCAGAAGTCTGCAAAGCATTTCCATTGGCATCATCATCCTCTATCAGTCCTTTGGCCGAGGTCTCCTCTGGCAAGTTCCCGTTCTCTTTACTTATATGGTCCGTCTGATTCAGACTCCTCATGTTTTCATTCCCGATGTTGGATATCCAGTCCAGAAGACCTTCAATTTTGCTTTTACTCTCTTCAAGCCGTTCAACAGCTGCTGCCTGCTTAAACAGACCACACATTAGTGATGTTGATTTCCTGTGCTATAAATTCAGATTTTTTTTATTTTTATTTCAGACAGCAGACGTGGAAGGAACCTGAACCTTTTCGCTTTCCTGTTTTATGGCTGTCGTTACAACTTTTTCTAAATCCTTCCGGGACTCCTCCGCTCGCTCGTTCATAAGCTCGGCTTTGCTTTTGGCCTCCTCCAACTTTCTCTCGATTTTCGCAATCTTGTCAGGTGTCAGCTTGCTGCGGTTTTCCTCCAGAAACTTCTTAGTGCTGATGATCACTTCATTTAAAGCGCTGGCATTCGTCAGCACGTCTTTCTGCAGAGCCTTGATCGTAACAATAACTTACTTTCAGACTGATCTGTGAGATTTTAATTATTTCATTTCTGATGTGAAACAAATGAAACAACATCAAACCTGGTGGTCATGCTGGTACTGTTGAAGATCAGTGACGCTCTCGGCATTATCAGCCTGCTGCTGATGACCAATCAGTCGGTTTTCAGTCAGAGTGAGGTTATCACACACTTCCTCTAGCTTTTCAGTGAACTCCTTGTGCTTCTCCAGTAAAGTCTAACAAAAAGGAAAAAGGAAAACATGAAAGGTGCTATCATCACTTAAAACCTTCAGAGGTAAATTTTATAGAAAACATTATCTTCAAACAAACTTGAACAAGAAGAAGAAACCTTTTTGAAACACTCAGGCTTAACATGCAAAGAGTAACCTAAATCCAGTATGCTGTAAACATGCTGTTTCAGATTTGCCATTTGGTCTTTTGTGATGCCACTAAGGTCAAGAAGATATTTCTTTATGCGTGTGCATGTGTGTGGGTCTCATAGGTTTGGTGTGTGTAAAAAAAAAAAAAAAAAATTCCAATGATGCATTTAGTCCACTGGGGTTTTGAGACCTGTGGAATATAAGCAGCACAGATGTTAGTCAGAGGCAGTGGTGAACACCAACGCATGCAAACATTATCAAAATATACAGGCTTTTATAGAAGAATCAATCAGCTCCAAATTCAGAAACAAACAATGTTAAAGGTAAGAACAATGCAAAAATGGAAATCAACAAACTAAAGCAAATGAATGTAAAAGACCAAGTTGTAATTTAAACTAAAGTTTACATTGAGTACCAAAAAATGTCAACATACGAAACTACCTGCTGTTGAGTATGGTGGAGGTATGTTTTCCTTTTATTTTTTGAAGGGACGACGTCTCATTTTATCATTCATTAAATAAGTCTGAGACTGGCAGTAAAGACAATTGTATGTGATGCTCGGCTTTAGCTTAAATTTTGTATCTGGTGTTTCAAAAGCCCAATAAAAGTAAACTGGGCTGTGGAATTGAAGTGAGGGTGAAGGCAACTTTTAGCAAGTTGTATATCTTTGACATTCAGCTTTTGCTATTAGCCAGTTCAAAGGATTATTTTTAGCTTGTAGCTTGTGTCTTAGGTCAAAGTTGTGTTTTTTTTATGCTTTTACAAGGACACTCAGGTTTTATGCATCTCTTTGTCTCTGCTCTTTTGTGTTTTTGATTTTTGATTTTTTTTTTCCCATTGATGCCCTCTGGATTTTTTTCTGAAGTAATCATATCCTTGGTATAAAAATAAAACAACAAAAAGTTTTTACAAGCAATTAGGGGCAATAAATACACAGATGCATGCACATATTAAAAACCAGAAGAACAAAAAGAGCCAGAATGTAGTGACCTGCCTTAATAGTTTTACACAGCTGTACTGTAAGATTTTCCTGAGATTTTTCTTGATGCATAAAAGTTGACATATGGACTTTTATATGCACATTGAAAATGTGCATATAAATAATATCTGTAGTATCTGTATTATCTGTAATAATAACAGAAAATTATTTGTATTTTTTATTTTATTACTTTCTCAATCAGATTTTCACTCTGTTTTTACTACTGAAAAAAAATCAGAAATATCTTTTGCCATAATTGATGAAAGATGTTCAACAAGTACTTATTATGTAAATTAAAATTTGTCATTTATTTGCTTAAAGATATTTCTCAGTATATTCCATAGAGTGTTTTAACTTTGATACAAATCACTACATTCTGTGTCTATTAAATGTTGTAGTGTTCTCTTTACTTCTTTTTCTAACTGCTCGTTCTTAAGGCAGGCCTCGTCCTGCTTTTCTTTCTCTTTAGCGTCCAGCAGGGTATCTAAGGCGCTCCTCTGTGTAGCAAGCTTGTCTGTCTGCTCCCTGAATGCTCGCTGTGTGCTGGTGAGGAACTTAAGGAGGTAACTGCTCTGAGCTGGGCTAAGAAACTGAGCATTCTCAGAAATGAAGCACTGGATATCAAATGTAACATCTTCCATTTTGAGTCTGGTTTCTTTTGAAAGAAGACTCTTTGTGTCCTGGAAGTGGAAAAAAAATCACAGATTAGGGATTTTTCCAGTTTTGGCTAATGTATTGATGCATCTTTGTTGCTAGATTAAAAAGGTACCATGTTTAGCTGACTAATATGCTTCAACGTGTTTACGTCACACGCGGCCAAATTCACATCCCACATCTCAGAGTTATTTTGAAGCATGTCTGTTACGTTAAGAAGATCGCCAAGATGTTTCTGGTATGTTGACTCCAATTGTGACTGAAATATAGAGTTAAAATAGTTATATGCTTGTTTAGCTGTTGCCTAACTTAGTTTTTTTTATTGTTTCCTTTCTTAACACGGACCTTCTCTGCTTCCATGACTTGAATCAAAGAACTTTGCCTTTCTGCAGACATTTGGGAGACAGCAGCAAAATCTGACTCCAACTGCAGATATGTGGAGGCCAAATCTTGGTGAATCTGTTTGGGAATTTGGTCGTCGTCAGCAGAGTTTAGGAGATGTTTGGCTTTCTCCAAATCCTTTCTTAGGACACTGCCCAGTTTAGAAACCTCAGCTTCTAAAGACTAGAAGAAAGACAGTTTATGTCAACAAACTAGTAAGCAACATTAGCTTACTAAATTAAAAAAATCTATGGCTAAAATTGAAAATTGATAACATTAATGTTAGATCATTCTAAATCCCGAGATTTTTTTTTTTTTTTGCCTGACCTGACATTCCTCGAGCTGGATCTGCAGTCCTTCCATGTTGTGAACTGGGGGCGCCTGCATCAAAAGGTCTTTCTTTACATCTTCTACAACATCAGCATGATCTTGCAGTCTGCCAACACATTCCAGGTAATCATGAACGGAGAACAACTGTGGAAAATAAGAACGTGTAAGACCAACTTCACTCTGTATTCTATGACCTTAATTTTCTCACATTACAAAATTAAATCTAAATGTATTCCACAAAGATTTTATGAGATGTGATTTTGTGTGTGGCAAAATCAAAGCAGGGCATAGTTGTCTATATAAGGAGTACACATCTTTTCAATGTTTTTGTGCAAAGCATATTCTAAGAGTGAGGGATATTTATAGTCAGCATCCCTTGCGCTGATGCACATCTGCAGAATGTTGTTGAGGTGCTTTCCTTCAGCAGCTACAGCAAAGCTGGTCAGATTTAATAAGAAGGCATCAAAGATATAAATGCTGTCATGAAACATAAACTTCTTAAAAGCTGTGAATTTTTTGAAAGTGGGGCAGAGATCCATTTTTTTCCAGCAGAGCCCTGAGCCCAAACATGCAGCCAGAGCTTGAATAACTTGCTTAGATCAAAGCAAAGTAGCTAAACTAAAGTCCAGACCATAATCCAAATGAAAATATTCTGGCAGACCTGAAAACTGCTGTTCATAAACACAAATCCAGTTTTGACTAAGATTGAGTTAGGTGAGAATATTCTGTCTCTGGATGAAGAGTGACTGTAATTGTAACTGCAGCTTTAACAAAACACGTATAATTTCCTTCAATTTGGCCTATCACATAAAATCTCAAAACAATCCGTGAAAGATTGTAGGCAAACAAATAAAAAACAAACTCTACCTCAGTTTTGACCTCTTCAGCTTTGTAAACATCCGAGCTGTCGGACCCCCAAGTGGACGGTCGGCGAGCTCCTTCAGCAGGATCCCAGATGCCTGGATCATGTGCAGACTCTTCGTCCTCTCCCTCAGAGCTCTCCTCCTTGATGCTCTCCAAAGTGCGCAGCCATTCCTCCCGAGTGTCGCCCCCCAGAGCGCTGCTCAGGCTTTCCACCATTTCTTGAAGCACTGAAAAGTCTTGGCTCAAAGAGACCGTCTTAAAAAGCTGCAGGAGCTGCTGCTGGATATTTGAAGGATTGTCCTGTTCTTTGATTTCACAGGCCTCATCTTCCTCACATGTCAGTTCTGAGCTTCTGGTGTCGCTGCTGGTTTGATCTGAGGTACTGTTCTCATTTATTCCCTGAAAAATGTCTTTTTCTATAGGTTGTAGATTGTCTTCAGTTTGTTGGGTGTCCTCCTGCTCATCTATTAAAACCTTTACGGCTTTATAAAACGTGGACTGACTTGAGCAGCAAACAGAGGATGTAATGCTGCCGTTAGGCAGATCAGCAGTTCTCTCCGATTGACGATCTGATCCCAATCCTTCAGTTTCAGGTTGCCTCAAGTGAACGTTTGAGGTTTCACAAGTTTGATTCAAACAGGACACATTTACATTATTATCGACTTTTTCCTGCTTTGATACCGAAATCTCCACAGCCTCACTGGAGATCACGAAAGTGTCATCGTGCTGCTTCTCTGGAGAAAGCCTCTTCTTGTTTGTTTTAACGTTAATTTCATTTCCACAATTGCCGTTTGGCTCTAATGCATATTTGGTAGCCTTTGATGGATCTTCCACATCACATTCATGACTGGAAGGAGGGGTGTCTGATTGCTGTGCAGGTGTGTCAGAAAGAAAAGCACGTGCTCTCTGAGAGATTTGCCTACAAACAGGTTGAGATTCAGTCCTTAAATCTGCTGTTAAATGAAGCACATCTGGCTGAGGTGATGCACATGTGCCTGCAGCTCCTGCACGATTCATTTCACTGATACCTTCGTCTGCTGAAGCCAAAATAAATGCACCTTCAACTAAATTCCAAGAGGGCAAATGGTGGAGCCTCTGAGCTGGCTCACTGTTTAAATATGAGCAAATATTTGTGTTGGGTTCCGTTTCTAAGCAGAAATCACTGCACAATGATGCAGTTGTCCCTAATTCACTCTCACTGACAGCATGAGATTCTTTCTGGAAGTCATTCCCTTCAATGGAAAGCTCATCAATGGTCTGGCTCTTAGATTTATCAGAGCAACATGTGACAGATGCTGCATGCTGAGGCTGGCTTTGTGAGTCAGTGCTCATGCCACTTATATTCGACAAGTCTGATTCCGTCACAGGAGCAGCGTACTCTTCGACAAAACCACGGACATCAGCTCCACCTGTCAGCTGCCCGTCGAGTGAAACCCGTGAGTCACAGTCTTTAGCCATCAAAGGCAGAGTGTCTGTAAGAAAAACGTTTCCAGAAGCAGGAATCAAAGAGGAGGGTGAGATCACCTCGGACTCGTCACCACAGTGTGTTTGATTACTCATTGTTCCCGCATTTCCTTCTTTATCAGCATCCTCAGTGTCTTTATTGTCTTCCTCATTTGGTAAATCAAGCGCCATGACAGCCGCTCCCCTCGTCGTCTGCAGCTGCACGTTTTCAGCTCCGTACATCTGACTCCAACTCACAGTGTGACCCTGCAAGGTGTCAGAATTGACGTTTTCTCCAGAGAAAGAGCAGGATTTTAGCTCCATGACAACCGGCTCAGTTTCACCTAATCCAAATTTCAATGCATTGCTGTAAGTAATAGTGCAATCAGATTTCAAAGAGCTCTCCTGTTCTGTCTGACAAATGTCTATTTGTTCCAGGTCTAACGTGTCTTCATTGAGTCCTAGCGCACTGATTTTTTTGTCTGACTGCATGTTATTTAGCTCTGGTACAGCCTGTTCAGCCATAAAGTTCTTTAAAGATCCCAAGGGGTCAGTAAAATTACCCTCTTCCTCCACTTGGTCGTTTTGAACCCGAAGGGTACAGTTAAAGTTGTCCTCGCCTTCAATCATATCAGAAGAGCATAACAAGTAAGACTGGGTTACATCATCATTGGTTGATTTTCTGCATAGTGACTCTGCATTGCAATTTGGCAGAGTCTCTTGATCAAACTTTATTGCAGATTCATAATTAAATGTTGAATCAGCATTTTTACTCTTTGCAGAGTATGAAGTCGGAGGCAATGGTGTCTCTAGAGAAGCTGTGTCATCAAGGCTGTTACTGTCAGCGTTCCCGGAGCCACACTGGAAACGCTGTGTGGCCCGTTTGAAATGAACAGTAGTTTCTCTGTTTACGTTAGGTTCAATGCCATTAACCTGTACGAGTTCATACGTAAAATCTCGTTTCAGAGGTTGAACATCAGTGACAATTTTTTCTTTGCAAGTCACCGCTTTATTAACCAGACAGACTAAATTATTCAGCTCTGATTCATGTTGAGAGTTTTCATCAGGGGTAGTTGGGCAATTGATATCATAGATAAAATCAAAATGATTCTGTGGGTTTTCCGTTACTTGCTCCGTTTCCTCATTTATGAGCAACATTTGTACATCTGCCTGTTCCGAATCATAACTGGGGTTAAAAGTAAAGTGAGTAAAATTTCGAAGAAAAGTTTGACACCGACTGTCAAGAATCAAAATCCTCTGGGCTGATCTGAGATCGACGTAGCTGTTCATCATCAAGTAAGAGATGAACAGCTGCTCTGCCTCTGATGGAGAGGGAGGGGTCGGATCTGGAACAGCTGCAGAACGATGCCGTCCATCCACTGAAAGCATTTTATACATGAGCCACGACGAATAGGTCTCATGAAGGTGCTCAAAGTCAGGCAGTGAGTCAGGAATTTCAACAGATCTCACCATGTCTGCTGTGCAGCTGTCAATCAGACCCTTTTTGGCAGCAGAGTTTATTTCTATTATCTCTGAGCTTCCTGGAATGTAAATGGCAGCTATTTTTCCTCGACTACTGAGCAGTGTGCTGGTGAACTCACTGGTGGTGATTTGGTGGTCACGCAGCATTGAGTTGCCTGTGATTTCCCCAGTAGGGGGCAGTACAAGTCCCAAAAACTGCTGCTGGTGTCCCAACCCTACGAGGGTGCTGCTGGAGCTCATCAAATCACACTGAACTGCTACATCCACCCTCACATCGTCATTGTTGTGGACAATCCCAGAACAATCATCGCACCCTAATGTGGTCACCTGATCACTTGAACCTGATTCAGACCTCAGCGGGTTAATTTTCCTCTCCGAGGAAGGCGGTTCATTTTTACCGAGGCACCCAAGAACGAGGCCATGAACTTCGTTGAGCTTAAGCTCCTCTTCAGGCTCACAGAAAGACAAACCATCAGAAATTCTCATAACTTTCTGCCTTTCCAGAATTTTTAAATACGTAGAGGCAGGAATCAACCCACAGTGAAACGCCCTCTCTACCATCAGCGTGTCTCCTGTGTAGGACGCATCCAGTCCGTCGTCAATCTGGTTTATCTTTATTATCCTCATGCACAGACCCCGACTGGTAGAAGCCTCCCTAGCTGCTGCTACATCACTCGGAGACACAGAGGAAATGTGTGAACTTTGTATGCACTTGCTTGATTCATACTGGGGGGAATGTTGCAGTGCTGATGTGTAGATGTGATTTTTTTGGACACTATCTTCCCAGTCCAGTTGAACATGAGGCTCAGAGGAACAGGGGTTGCAGCCTGCGAGCGTGTCTGGGAGAGCGGCAGAAGCAAAGTGATCAAACACTTCTCCTGTGGCTCCAGCCCTGGATGTCTTTAAATTCTGTAGAAAAACAGAAACACAGCCAGTAACTCCACTAGCCTTGACTTCCACATACAATGCCTTGGAAAAGTATTAATACTCCTTTGAATTTTTCACATTTTGTCTCACTACAACCACAAACTTCATTGTATTTTGGGGGTATTTTTATGTGATAAATCAGCATATGAGGAGGAAGTAGGTTGCATTGTTGCATTGAAGATTGTGGTTATATCACAAGATGTAACAAATTTCAAGGGGTAAGAATATATTTTTAAGGAACTGTATGTGTTCTTTGTAAATATGGATTAAAATATTTACCAGAAAGACAAAATCTATACTCACCATCACACAAACATGGTTAAAATATTGTGTGCAGAAGAGCAAGACTGCAACAGGGTTACAACTGGAGAGTGACGCACAACACACTGAAAGCTAACATGCGTTTGCGGTGTCCGACATCTTGCAAAAAGGAGTGGAGTTAGTTAGTTCGCACACTGTAAGGTTAAAAAAGTCAAGTCTGTTTTGACACTGAACCCTGCGAGAGCTGAAATACACGAATGGTGGAGGATTTTTCAGACCAAAGCTGGCGCAGTGAAGCATGTTTACAGCATACTCAGATACTCTGGACTCCAGCTAAACACATATCATACCAGAAGTGCAAGAGAAAACTGCTCCAACTATAATAAGGAAAAGCAGATCATGTTCATCCATGCATCTAAACATCAGGAGGGCACAGTAGCACACATTTGCAACAGATGCAGTCAGACATAATGCCTAGAACCCAACCTCTTCTGCAGAGGTCGTTTGATCTGAACACTGCTGAGAGATTTCACTGTAGGCCTGAGTGAGAGCATTCAGCTGCTCCTGGGTCTTCCTCCTGTCCTCCTCCGTCATCCTGTGAAGAGAAGAACATGGAGTGAACAGCTGAGTTTCCACAGTGAATAAAGTATTATAGATGCAATATCAGAGCATTAACACTTACTTGTCACCATGTTTGTTCAGCATTGTTTGTGTGGCCCTCAGTGCTTCTGCAATTTGCTCCTTTTTGGAAGCCATTTCTTCAACTGAAACCTAAAAACATCAAATATGTAAATGTTTACATATTATAAAAAGCAGTCTGCAATTGTGTAATTAACCAGAGAATATGATAAACTGCAATATAGCACAATTATATGTCAAATTTGGGGTTTAAATGGCTTAAATCTTATTGTGTAAGTTTTATTAAGATGCAGCAATCAAACAGAAATTTTCATTTGATCAATACTGATTACTAATCAGTAGATCAATAATTTAAATGTGATTTAAATGAAAGAAATAGCCTATAAATGTAATAATCAGCATGTGCCTGGTGTTTGAATCCAATAAAAATCATCTAAAGATAACTGATGTTTTATTCTAACAATGGTGTAAACTATGTACTTTTTTCACTTTTCTTTGGATTCAAAACCAACATTTCTATCAGAAACTTTAACACTTTACTCTATGTGTTGTAGTGATTTTTCCAGTGCTGAATGTTGGTTTTCCCAATTTAAAAAGAAAAATTGTGCAATATCTAAATTGGCAGGCAGGGCCTCAAAGAAAATTGGAAATCATTAGAACCTAATCATTGCTAGGTTCCTTTTGAGTTGTAATTTACGATATGTCTTAAGGCAATGTACAAACATATTTTAAATCTCAGTCACACAAAAAAAAGACATAAACACTGATTAAAAGGAGAATCAAAAATAATCTTGTAATTTAGCTAATAACCTTGCATTGCACAGTAATTACAAAGGGCCAACCATGATGTTTGTATCCTTGCAAAATAAAACAGGTCAGTCATCCGATGCATTATGTTGGTAAATTAAAATAATGGATGCTATGAATTAATAGTGCACATTGATTTTCCTAATTTTATTCATTAAAACAGGTCCAAAGGAAGTTTTCAAATCCTTGTCATTATTTTTCTTTTCTTTTTTTTTAATAACTCAACATTATTAACAAATAATTGCTTTTAGGTAAATCACCATTGCCTCCACTATTAACATGCCCTCACAATTATTATGAAATAAATAAGATGTAAAAACATAATTTGTGCTATTCACTCTTTAAAGTTTTCATTCCTTCATTCCTTACATTGAGCTATTTTTATTTGAAATGTGTTTATAAGACTGTAATAATGATTGGGAGTGAAAACATTCTCGTATATATATATATATGAGTGCTTGTGCAACTTCTGGAACTGATTTTATTGTGTGGAAGTTGATTGGATTAATCCAGCATGTAATCCAATTAATATTATCAAACAAGTGTTAACCCAAAAGAGGTTACTGCAACAACTAATAACTTATGTCTGTGGTTTTTATTGTAAATCACAGTGACAACAAGGATACACCTTAACATATACACGAGTTACCTGGTGTTTATTTGAGGCGTCTGTGTTGGCATTACTATCTTTCGGACCATTCCCGTCATTGTTCACGGTCCGCTTCACATCGGACATCCAGTGCAACAGTTTGCTAACTTTATCACCATGCTCTCGCTTCTCCTCATCAACTGACCTCTACAATTAAAACAGGCAGGAGGTCAGCAGGACTCTTAATTTTTCAAATAACCAAACGTTGTTAATAAGAAAAGTAAGTTGTTTACAACTTGGCCACGAAGCAGAAGAATCGGCTACATCGAACATAGCAGTAAAATATGGGTGTGAAAAAAAACAACAAAAGGAAAACATAGTAAAGCCACATTTTCATATATCCTTTACAGACGTTTACTTAAACGCACAAAGATAATGAAATGCTGTTTTGGCCCCAAATGCATGAACTTTTGTAGCCTCCAATAACCTCAAACCAGTGTGGCAGTCAAACACACTTCTTTCCAGTGCCTCTTTGAATGTGACTCGTCTCTTTGTCTTGGGACACGTGAGACTTTGAGCTTGGAACTGCTCATTTTTGAGCAGAGTGGCTGTAGTCTTGCCGACAAGGTTGCTTTGAATCACTTCTTCAAGAGAGACTCTGTCCTTTGTGTCAGGATTTATCAGTCCACCGGTCAAGAGCTGAAATTCAGCGCAGCGGAAACCCACATCCTTTGGGAGGAAGTTTTCTTGAACAGCCTGGAAAATAGATAATACCTTCCCAGTCTGAGGGTGGGTGATACCGTTGAATGCCTCTTCGAACTGTTGGAGCTGCTGCTTTAGAGCCTCGTCTAAAAGACCTCTTTTCAGAGCATCGGAGAGTGTGTGTTTCTCCCCAGTCGAAGGGTCACAAATTCCCCCCGTGCAGGCCTGGGACTCCAACAGTCGTAATGCCGTCACTCTGTCAGTAACACCCTGCTGAAGACCCTGAAGAACTGAGAGCCTCTTCTTCCTAGTGATGTCCCAGAGACCGGCAATGGGGCTATTGACATCTTCCACAACAACCCTTCTTGAAAATATGATGTCTGCAATCTCATGGATGCTTAAAAGACCACTGCGATAGCTTTCAAACTCAGACATTTCAAGAAATCTTTGACTTAAAGCAGATTCTAGACAAAGCTGTCGACCACTTCTGGCATCTGTGATGAAGTGACGTGAGTTTCCGCTTGGGTCAACCAGAGAGTTTTCCTGCCAGTTGCTTTCCTGCTGAGACAGGAACAGATAGGTGTTTTTGTTGATGTGTTTCCCTTTAAAGGCTTCGTACACAGACATTTCTGATCCACAGCTGCTGTTGACGACTGACATTCTATGAGGACTCATGGGAGATGTGTTTGTCAAGTGTCTCTCTCCAAACGGGACAAGAAACACACTGCCGTTGATGTCATATAAGCAGGTCTTGAGTATTTCATCGTAGTATGCCCTCTGTCCGGTGTCAGGGCTGTGGAAACCTTTTGGGTTGCTCACCGGATCGTGCAGACTCTGCAGAGTCTCTTTGTTTAAGAGACCGTCATTCAATGCAATAAAAGTTGGGACTCTCATTCCGGTTTCTGGGTTAAATAACCCTCCTGAGGAAACCTGGACCTCAAGTATCTTCTTGCCTTTAAATCTATCTATAATTCTCTCTTCCATGGCCTGAAAGACAGAAAGTTTTCTGCCCTTACAGATGTAGCCACTAACAGCTTTCTCTGCTTCCATCAGCTTCTCTTTCATGCTTAGATCTACGATGCCTTTCTCTAGCGCCTCTGCAACAGACACCGTTTCTCCTGTAGCTAGATCCACGAGACTGCCTGTTGCAGCCTGAGCCTCGAGGAACTCAAGAGCGTATGTCTTTGCAAGAAAGCCCTTTTCAGCTGCTTCTAGGAAGGGCGTCTTTTTCTTACTCGACTCAACATAAAGTCCAGCTACCGTGGCAGGTTTATCAGTGCGATGGACAAGTGATGCTCGCACTTCTTCAATGGTGAGGAGGCCCATCTCCAACTTTTGTAAAACCCCCTCATCCAGAAGCTTATGCTTGATCCAGTAGTGAATGTCAGGACTCCCAATAAACTCCTGGTGCTTCTGGGAAGTTGATATGCCCTGTGTTCCATAAGATTTTCCTGTACTTTTTTCAGATGTGATTATGGCTTCATGAGTTTCTCTGACTTGGTAAGTGCCTGTCTTACTGATGTTAGATTCATTCTGCCCTGGGTCTTTAAGTCCACACAGAGCCATGTAACCCGGCACTTTGACTGAGCTGGGAAGATCAGATGAAATGTTACTCTTGTGAGCAATGTGCTGCAGATTTTTTGCTTGAATACTGGGGGGTTCGTAAAGAGAGGCAACTTCCTTGACTTGCTTAATTCCTTCGAGAACGTTTCCTCTCTCCATCTTCTCCATCTGTAGATGTGACATTAGAGGAATGCTTAAGTTATGAAAGACAAAAGTTCACTTTTAAAACTAAAATATGCACAGTATTAAATTTCATTTAAATTAGTAAAATATCTTTAAATTTCAGTGACAGCTTCCTTCATACCTTTTTGATATTGAGAGTTTCATCCTCCATTCTGCTCTTTGCTCCCTCAATAACTGTCGTCATTTTCTTCTCCATGGGAACATTTTCCTTCAACAGATCAGCTTTGCCATTTGCCACTTTTGGATGGACGGTCTCCGTCACCGCTCCTCTCAGAGTCGACAGAGTTTTCTGCAGGTTTTTCACCTCTCTCACGTACAGCTCTGTTTGTTCTCGTAGGGCTCTTGCTTCATGTTCTTTCAGTGACAGATTGCGCTCGCTATCCGACAGCTTTTGTTCAAACTTTGTTCTCTCAATTGACTGCTGATTGCAGAGGCTTTGCAGAGAACTTATTTTAGAGGCGAGTTTCAGTTTATCGTCCTCGAGTTGGGTAATCTCAGACTTTGCTTTCAACAAGTCTTGCTCAAGCTTTGTTCGTTCTCGCTGCAGTTTCTCCGTTTTGAACTGAAGCTCCTTGTCCATATGTTGCCTTGATTCTACTGTGGTGTGTTGCAAAGTTTTAATCAGTTTTACATCTTGCTTAAAATATTTGTTGAGTTTCTCTGCTAATTCGCCGCTTTGTGACTGTTGGCCTTCCTTTGCAATCTCAGACTGCAACAAAATCATTTTCTCCTCAATTTCTGCCTGCATAAGTGACAGCTGCCTCTCATAGCCTTCTTTCTGGAGCTCAAGTTTACCCTTTAGCTCCTCCAGCATCTTCTTACATTTCTCCAGCTGTTCCTCCATCTGCTGGGACCTCAGCTGAAGAGTAAAGTTTTCTCTTTGCTTTATCTCTGCATCTGTTTGGGTGTGTTGCAGCTTGTCTTTTAGCATTCTGAGCTCTGTGCCCAGAGAGAGGTTTTTTTCCAGGGCCTCTGATTTCTCCCTCTTCAGGATTGTATTTTCACGTTGCAGATTTGATTGGGATTTGTCAGAACTGGACATGACTTCTTTGATAGTTAGATTGTGTTTCTGAATTTCAGTCTCCAACAGAATAATTTTAGATTCTTTCGATTTTCTTTCCTTTATCTCTTGAGCTAGTTCATCTTTTGCTCTTTGCATTGCGGAGCTAACCTCCGAAAGTTTAACATTCAGACTCTCTACTTTCCTCTCCACTGCCGCCTTGTCATTCTGAAGTGTATACATTTCCTGCTTTAGCTTTTCTATGACTTTTTCAGAGTTGTTAGTTATTCCTTTAAAGCTGTGCTTGTGTTGTAAAAGTTCTTCTTCTAGAGCTTTAAGTTTACGCAGATGTTTCTGGCTCTCATCAGATTCTTTTTGCAGCTCCACATTTTTTTTCTTCAGCATCTCGTTCAAATTATTGATTTCAGCTTTCTGCATGTGAACTTTCTGATTTACTACGTTTTTCTCTGCAAATACAGATTGCAGCTCTAACTTCAGATTCGCTACTTCTTTCTCATAATTTATGATTTTTCCATTTTGGGACTTTAACTTCTGCTGCAGATCAGCGATGGTCTTTGTCTCCTCACTGTGTTCTTGCAATTTAATTTGAAGCTCATGAATGGTCTGCGTTTTCTTACTTAGCTCCTCGTCAATAATTCTAACCTGTGATTTAGCACCCTCTGTCTGTGACTTGAAGATTTTAATTTGCTGGTCCTTGCTCTCAATCTCCATCATCACTTGATCGAGTTTGGCTTTCACGTTCTTGGCATTCTGCTCCGCCTCTAAGTTCATCTGCTTGAGCTCATCGATCTTCCTCTGCAGCTGAGACGCAACGTTTTCACCCCTCTGAAGTTCTGCCTCGAGGTTCTTGTGTTTGATCTGCAGGGCATGTTCAGATCTCTTCACTATGTTGCTCTCATCCTTCAAGATTTGAAGCTGTTGTTTCCAGCTCTCCACCTCATTCTTTAAAGATTTTACCTTTTGTTCAGAGAATGATCTTTCTTTTTCCAGCGACTCTATTTGGATCTGAAGACTTCGAATGTCGCTATCAGACGAGACGTTCATTCTCATCAACTCGTTGCATTTTGTTTTCAGCTGATCTATGGCTGACTGTTTGGAAGCCACCTCTTCCTCTAGGTTGTTTATCTTGTAGGAGTTCTCCTGCTCTACGGAGCTTCTCTTCTGCAGCTCCAATTGGGTGATCTTCAGCTGCTCTTTAAGGCCTTCTACTTCAGTGGTTTGGAAAAAGGTGCTTTGCTCCAATGAGGACTTTGCTCTCTGGAGAGATCTGATTTCTTCCTGAAATTCAGAGATGGATTTTTTCATGTTCAGCATTTCCTGATGGAAATCATCCGACTTCTGCCTGGTCTGGGCCCGTTCACCTTCCATCTCCATCTGCAGTTTTTTCAGTCTGTTGTTGCTGTCATCCAGAAGCTTTTTATAGCTTTGTGCTTTCTCCTCGGCCATCTCTGCTTTTTTCTGGACCTGAGATAGTTCATCCAGTCTCTGCTGCAAGACATCGTGCATTCTGTCTGCAGATCCCTCGAGTTGGGCGCCCAGTTCTGATTGGCTCTCAAGTCCCAAAGACTCTGCAGTCTGATCATTGCTTTCAGCTGGAACTTCACTCTGCAACTCCCTTGCTATTAAAACTACTTCCTGCGCATTTGTTGTTCTTTGTAGGCCAGAAATCTGTGCATCATTTTCTTTCTTTAAGACTTCCTCGAGTTTCTTCTGAGTCAGAGCAGAGGTGGCCTCCGACTGCTCCATTAAAGTTTTGGTATGCTTTAATTCCTGCTCAAGTGCAGCTTTGTCTTTAATCACTATGTCTAACTTAGTGTGGTACTGACTGACATCATGCTCAAGCTTTGCTTTCAGAAAGTTTAAGTCCTCAACGATCTTCTTTTGTGTTTCTAGTTCTACTTCCAGCTTCTCCACCTGTGCTTCCCTTTCTGCAAGCAAAACTTCCTGTTCTTGGATCCGTTCCTTAAGTTGTCTAATCTCTACTTCCCCTCTGGCTTTTTGGACCTCCATGCTCTCTGTCCTTTTTGCATCCTCTGTTCTTTCGAAAGCCCTCCTGTTCTACAATGCAAAAAAAATGAGTCATCCACAGATTGACATTTAAATAGACATGGTTACCTCAAAAATAATCTCTCTAAGAGTTTGAAATTTAAAAAAATATTTATTTATAAGAAAATGCTCATTTAGATCATGTTGTGAATAGTACATTGTATTTAAAAAACTTAACAGATTACTGATTAGTTTTGTTAAACTAGTAAATACATCATGCACATGTTTCGCCACCCATATTTTATTGCAGCAGCATAATCTCACACTGGACAATTTAGAAAAGTAGCAGCCTTTGACTTGAATATTTCAGTCAATGGTATAGAATGTCACATTAATAAAAAAGATAAAAAAGATAGATAAAAATTATAAATATGAGTCTTTAATTTAAAATCTCTTGAAATCAAATGCTATTAGAAACTGCTTTACAAATTCCGAGAGATTTTTGAAAATGTTTCTGTCCAAGAATGCTCGAGATGTTTCTACCCACTTCACCATCACCAGCACACATGCAGCTATTTTACACACGTATGCACTTTCTTTGCTTCTTTTGCTCAATGAAGCAAATTCTCTTTGCCAGCATGATGACGTGAGTCAAGAAGTCAAGAAGTCAAGTTGGATGAGAAGTAAAGCATACAGAAGATCCGTGAACCTAAATATCATGCATCTCATATCAGAAGAGAAGAAAAAAATGGCATCAGCATCAGGAGAACAAAAGAGGCCCCAGAAGCTGCAAGAACCAGAGTAACTACAGAATGGGATGCATTTTTTTAAAACATTATAAATACATGTTATCCTTAAATTGAAACCAGCTCACCTCCTCGTCTTCGGCTCTTTTCAGCGTTTCACTGGCAAACTTCACATACTGGGTCATAAGAGTCACAAGAGCAGTGTAGCGGGTTCGGAGGTCCATGAACTGCATGAAATTAACCCAACAAAGACAAATGTGTAGATGTGCAGAAAATACAAAAGCAAAAAAATATTTTGCACTGTAAATAAAATCCAAATCCAGTCTTGCCTCCTGCTGAATGGCATCAGAGGAGCTCTGCATCTTCCGCTTTTTAAGAGGGGACTTGTGTTGGGAGTCAACCATCGCTCTGAATGTCATTAGCTGCAGCTCATAATCCTGGAATTTTAAGCGAAATGTTAAAAGTTAGTTGAAATATTTCTAGTAAATGTCAAGAAGATCTTTTTTTTTTTTTTTAAGTGTTGCCTTAGCAAAATCAAATAAAGCCTCAAATTACCTTAACAGCAGACGAGTACTGCTCCGAATATTTCTGACACTCATCAATTCTGTTTTGCTTTTGTTCCATTTCAGCAACAAGAACCTAAAAATAACACGTATTTTAGGACCGAACACTATTAAAATAGATAGGTCTTATTATAAGAAGGGGACTTCAGTTCTCTCGTACCTTCTGTTTGTTTAATATCTCAGCAAGAGCCTTGCTGTCATCAGGTTTGTTTTCTTGGGCTTTCAGCTGTGCCGTTTCCAGTTCTGAGATCCACTGATCCACACTGCTGTAGGAGTCTCTGTAGTGTTTCAGAGACTTGCTGATTCCACCAAGGTCCCGCAGCCTGAAATTGATATAGGACATCTTCATGACTAATACAAGAACTCTGCACACAAATCCTGTGATAAAATTAATTTAAGAAATAAAAATGGGGAGAAATAGAGAAACTGAGAATGGGACTATATTCAGCTGAAATAGAATTGGATGATGGCTGGCAGGTCAAAAACTCAAAACTGTGACTTTTTAAAATGTTTTAAATGACAATTAAATGCATTACAAATTTTATCTGTTTTAATATTTTGACGGTTTAACCTGCGTAACATATAATGTGCTAAACTTGTGTACTGTATGTTGAAAATTTGAGAGTCAAGACACTAAAAATAGCTAAATATGAGAACTATGTAATGTCCTTTTTTTCTTTTAAATGCAAGGATTTCTCACACAGAGCCGTGACATCCCCCATTATCAAAAAATGGACAATTAAAGGCTCGACCCTAGAGCAAATGCTGGAACACTGTTCTTAAATCTTTCATAGAAGTATTTTAAGAAATACCCAAGTCATGTAAAATCAATTTTGACTGGTCAAAGCTCTAAAATCCTTTCTAAACTTCCTAAATTTGATTTAGAAAGTTGTGGCAAACTTCTCATCACTGCAAGACATGCAACAAAACACACGTCCTGCAAACCTGCTATCAATCTGGGAGTGAATGTTCTGCCATCTTTCACTCAGCTGGTCCGCCCTCTCCTTGTGCCAGTCCAGGTCAAAGTCTCGCTCGTTATGGGCTTTAAACATGCGATCGCTGATGACGCGAGCTTTCTGAAGCTCATCCTCCATGTCGTGGAATACTTCCTGCCTCTCGTCGATCTCCGTCCGCCATTGCTACAAACAGAAAGATGGACGACTATGACTACTTAAAACAAGCTGTCACAGTGCAAGCAGCATGGTTTTATTTATTTATTTTTTTAAATGCAGCGCTACCTTAAGCGTAGAAATCACACTTTCAATGGATTTGACATCCGAGTTGACGGCATCCTCTTCATATAGTTTGGACTCGTAGGCTTTAACGAGAGACTCTGCGCTCTGACTGTGCTTCACCACCAAACTCACTGTTTTCAGTCTGCAAAAACAGAGGCTCCACTTCAGCTCAACCATTTTCCGCAAAAAAATAAAATAAAAAATTTTTTACATCTCCCTGACATGCAAAGCAATAAAACACCATTCTTACTTGTCCATATAAATAGAGGACATGGAGTACACTTGGCTCATGCTCTGAACGAGGACAGAAAGTTCAGAGGAAAGCGTGGACACAGACGGAGAGCCTGCAGCCTGTCTGAAGAACTGCTCGCACTTCTCCCTCATGACATCCAGATCGCCCTTCAGCCTCTCCAGCTCAGACATCTTACTCTACAGAGCAGGATGTAGAATGTTATTAATAGTATGTGCCTCTTTATGTAAGAAGGATAAAAATAAATAAAAAAAATACTCATTTGATTACCTCGTGTTCAGTGATGCGCTGCAGACTCTGCTCCAGGTCATCTCTCTCCAGCGGTGATCGGATTTGCCTGATTAGGTGTTCCTCGTGGGATTCTAGGTGCATACGGATGTTGCGGATTTCTGAGATGTAGTGATTGTACACCGACTCCTCGTGTTCTTCTGTTGATAAAAATAAATATTAACAATAAATATATCAGTAATTAAGATAGGACTTTTTTTGTAATCAGTAGTGTTTGACAGAAACCATGTAAAAAAAAAAAAAAGGAAGAAATTATGTGGGATATACATCACTAGGTGGCGGCATTGTCATAGTGTACGTGGAGTTATGGCTCATGAATTGCAACCCTGGCTTTTATTGGTTTAAAAGTAAACTAACAGACACATTTCTATGTTAAAAAGTATAAATTATGTAATTGTGCAAATCACAGTCTTAATTTATAGCTTAAGAGCCTTAAGGACCAAAGTGCCTCCGGAGGCTGGGCTGTTATTAGGGGGAGAATTGAAGGCTTGCCTCTCTCTGCGGATCTGAGCAGTTCCTGGTAGTACTCCTTACAGGCTGCCACGTCTCTCTCCAGCTGTGCACAGTCTGCCACTGTAAACACCTCAGACTCCTTGCTGTCCTCCAGGAACTCATCGAAGTGGGACTGGAGGTTGCCCAGGACCTGCTGATGCTCGCCAGGCAACATCGTCTTTATCTGAAGTTGTTTCAAAAATGAAAGCGTTACAAATCTCTGGGTGTGATCATAAACTAAAGCTAATTATTACTAATCATGATCAGCGAGTGGGGGAACAAACATGTATAGATACCGAGGCTACGTTCCAGTTGCGGATGGCCCGTATGTCAGCCATTAGGTAATGCCAGGACACAACGCTCTTCATGTTGACATGGGAGCGGTGCCACAGAGTCAGGACATTTTGGTATAACTGTTCAGTTCTGCAGTAGAAGAGAAGCGATTTAGACAATGAATGCTTTAGGAAACTGCTTTAACACAAAAATGGATCGTAGCTTCCGAGCGTCTCACCTCGCTGCCAAGTCAACAGCCTCTTTGTTGGGTGGAGGCACGGTGAAGCAAACAGAGGGAACCATGGCCTCATTCCCTGCTGGGTTGATGACTTTCCACTTGGCCCGGTGAGAGTTGCTCACCAAAACACACTCGTCATCTTTATCAATGGTAATCTGAAAGAGTTAGGAGAGAGAGAGATACAGCAGAGATCTGTTACACAAACTTCTAAATTAAATGGGAGTGACTGTGGTGTGATGTTTTTAAAACAACAATACCTCTATCTGACGATAATCACATATCGCTCTGACAGGAATGGAGGACCTCAAGGGAATTTCAGGGTTTCTCGGCCGGAGTTGCACAATGTTTTTGGCCCTGCCCACTAACCCGGCGACAGTGCTACGGTACTGAAGAAGCTGCTCTTTCTCATCCTGAGAATACACACAAACAATATAGTTTGTACCATGACATAAAAAGTTTAAAAAATAAAAAAACCTTTTTGTATTTTCTAACTAAAAGACTTAAAACTTTTTTTTTCTGAGAGACCAATATAAAGTAGCACATCACTGAAAAGTGGTGGAAAAAGTTACGAGTTGTGGAAACATTCAAAAGATCTTCAAAAGGTTGTCCACAAATCTAGCCTTTATGGAAAAGTGGCAAGAATACAGCCACTGTTGAAAGAAATCCACAAGTACTGCTAAAAATTAGCAGCAGGTTATTTGGGAGATGCTGAAATCATGTGGAAAAAGGTGCTCTAGTCTCATTTATTTCCCATAAATGAGAAAAAAAAAGTGAAGAACAAACTAACTTTGTGCACTATCCTGAACACAACATTAGAAATGTGACCAGACAAAATGTGGAAAACCTATTGTACTTTTTCGTCTTTACACACAAATGCATACACTTCATGTCATTGCATCAGTGTTACCATGGACTCCTGAATCAGATCCTCCAGCCGGTGCAGGCTGCTCGATTGATCACAGCTGTATTTTCTCTGAATTGAATCTTTTAGGTTCTTAAGGTAGTCCATGGACACTTTGGCATCACTGAAGAACTGCACAGGGGAAATAAAAAGGAGCGTAGAGGTTAGATGCAAAAAATAAATTAATTAATCAATCAATGAATGCATTTAATAGGACAGTCTTAGGGACCAACGCACCTCAAAATATACAGCATTTCCCTTAAGATGCTGTTCGACGCAGGAGCAGAGCTGCAAAATCCAACTCCACTGTGTCTGCATTGCAGCTTTATATGCCTGTGAGGAAGAAAAAAATTAGATATACTGGAAAACTGCATGCTGGAAACAACTTGTAGTTATCTGCACAATTCCAGGCCCAAATACAGAAACTAGCACATTGGCCTCACTTCAATGGTTAGTCTGGCTGGGTGGTTCTTCAGCATGAGGCGCTCTGCCTTGTCCTGCACAGACTTAATGGTGTCCTCTTTTTCATCCAGTTCCCTCATCAGGTCCTGTGTAAAGACATTAAGGTAAAAGCCCCTGGTGCTAAGGCGTGGTGAAGGATCAGCTACTCCATCATCTCACATAATCTCACATCCTGCCTCAGTGTGGGAGGGTAGAGGCAATCATTCAAGGTACCGTTTAAACACATTTTTCCTGGGTGCATGAAAGATCCCAACGGGTTAAGACAGAAATGGCTTACAGCATGGTAGTCTCTTTTCTGCGAGATGTTGCAGTTGCGATCGCTCCAGTCGAAGGCGACCTCCTCTTCCTCTTTCTCGTTCAGCCAGATGAGCTCCTGAGTCGCCTGCGACACAAAGTCATGAAGGCTTTCCAGGTGGTTCTGCCGATCCCTCGAAGAGCTCTGAAACATTTCAAACAGTTAGACTACGACTTAAAAATGGGAAAATAATCGAGCTGAGCTCTAGGGTCATACTCACCAACAGCTGTTCGTACTGCTTTTCGAGTTTGTTCAGTTTGTCTGAATAGGTCAGCTTTAGTGGCATGTTCATCTGAATCTGGGAGGACAGCAGTTTTCTGAATAAATACATTTCATGCTTTACATCGATGAGAAAGTTTTAAAAAACTAACTCACTTCACTCAGTCGAGCGTCTTTGAGACTCATTTGAAATTCTTCAATGGCTCTGTGCACGCTCTTGTGGTTGTCCAAATGCATTTCCACACTGGGCAAATCGGTTCCCCACTCCGAGCGCTCCAATTGCAACTAAACAGAAGATGAAAAAAATGGAGCAAGTCAAAAAAAAATTACATTCCCAGCCTACATGAATAAAAAAAAGGACAGAAACTGCTCACATGCATCTCCTCCACCCAGTTCAGGAGGTCCTGCACATATTTCAGGTTGACCTCCTCCTCCGTCATGCTGGGGTCCGCCAGTGACGACTTCATCAGCGGCTTCCTGATCTGCATGTGCTTCAGATGCATGAGGTTACCAGGCTCCATGCCGCCCCCGCTCCCCATGTAGCTCGGGACGGAAGCCGGCGGCAGATTTGGTGTCAGGGAAGGGGTCAAAGGTGAGCTCAGCGATGAGTTGAGGCTCGGGGTGAGGCCGGAGGTGAATGTGGATCCGGGGGTACCCAAACCCCCTGATGTGAGAGAAGGAGTAATGTCTGATGTGAAGCTGGAGTTAATGCTCTGTGGAAAGCCGGAGTTCAGGCTCTGCGTGATGCCGGAGATCATGCGCTTGGTTTGCTCTGTCGTCAGGGTGCGACCTTTGCTGTACACAGTGGAGCACTCGGCTCTGAGGGCCAAGAGATCGTCACGGAGTCGGGAGACCCTGGAAATATCAGAGGGAAGCAGTTATCAGTTTTAATTGTGACTGTTTTTATCATTGTTTTTAAATTAAAAATAATATTCTAAATAAACAACCATGTTATGAATTAAAGTAATTATACTTTTCACTTGTAAGACTAAGAAAAACTGAGTACTGCCTTTATTGCATGTAATATTTCAATTCAATTTTCAAAACAAACTTTATACATTTGAACACAATAATAGTTCTTGTTTTTTTCTCGTTTCTGTTGAAAATATCTTATTATTGTGTTGAAAATAACAGTTCAAGCCAAACAGAATTTACTTATAAGTAACTTTTCCTAAAATATAGGAGTTTGTCTTAAGTCAGTGATTCCTTAATATTTTTTTTTTTTTTTTTTTTTTAATAAATTTTTTATTAGGTTTTAACAGCAAAATACAAAATGTGCAAAAGTATATGAACAAGATATGAAGACTTTTTTTTTCTATAACAGAACCGAACAAAAGTCGTACAGAACACATGGATAAGCCTTCCCAAATAAAATCCAGAGGACTAAGAAAAGAAAACAAGAAAAAACAGAAAGTAGATATGTTAGAAGAAGAAATAAAAAATACATTAGTCTTGTGTGCAAAGTACAATGATATAAATCTAGGTCTTAATAGTGAAAGAAAGGGGGAGAAAAAAAAAAGGGGGAAGGATTTAAGAAAAAGGTACATCAATGGGTATTAATGACAAAATAAATAATTTGATAAATAATATGATAATGTAAATAAAAAAGGTCAGGCAAAAGCAAAAATTTAGTTGGGCACCATACGGGACGGCAATGTCTGAACAAAATCAAAAAACGGCTGCCAAATCTTTAAAAATTTGGTTGTGGAACCTCGTAGGGTAAATTTAATCTTATCAAGTTTACTAAAGTGTAAAGCATCTTTAATCCAGATTTCAAATGAGGGAGGTAAAGCTGATTTCCAGCACAGCAATATTCTACGCCTCGCCAACAAAGTGAGAAATGAAACCAGATCAGCCTCAAGTCTTGACAAAGAAACCGTCTCAGAAAGTACACCAAACAATGCAGTTAGTGGATCAGGCTGGATGGACATATGAGCTACTTCAGACAAGGCTGAGTGATTCCTTAATATTGATGAAAAAGTACAAGTTATGTCAGTGGAACAAGACATTTGTCCCATATTATAAGTGAAATAGACAGTGGAACTAGTACTTTTTCATCAGTATTATGGAATTATTGTCTTAAACAAGCTCATATTTCTTGTTGAAAAGTAACAGAGTATCTCAGTGGGGAATTAGGATTCCCTTTGTACCTCTGAACAAGTTGATCCGCGAACGGAAATTTCCCATCCAGGAGAATCTGGATGTCCACCACTTGTTGTCGGAGGATATTCTCACACTCCAGCAGATAGCCTGCGACCTCAGCCTCGTTCATGAACTGAATCCCTGACTCGAGACGTTTTGTATCCTTAAAACGAGAAAGAAAAAAAATAAATAAATCAGATATTATCAACACCAGAAATTATTATTTTCTCTATCAACCTCTGCTTTCACAAAACACTTACAGACTGCAGAGCTGCTCTCGCCAGTGCCAGCTTGTCTTCTCCATTAACACAGTCTCGCTGGACTCTGTTGGCAATCTGCTGCAGCATCTCAAGCCTGAAAAACAGAGAGGGATATTCAAGATATGGACTGTGATTGAAAAAATAAACAAATAAAATAAGCACACTTAAAAACAACACGCTTTGTAAAAGTCAAGAAAGAACAAAGTATTTTCACCTGGATCCATAGGCGAGGTTGTTATTGAGAAAGACCGAGCTGTTAATCTGCAACGGCTCGGTGAGGATGCTGTCACAGGAGCCAAAGCTCGTATTAAAGCTACTGTTGCTAACAGTAGAGGTCCTGCTCAAAAATGCCATTTTACTTCACATTTTAAGCAGGCATTACTTTTACCAGTGTACGACTAACCGACGCTACCAATCAGAATTGGAGTCTGAAACCTTGATGGCACTGACTACGAGCATTATTAGACAGAACTGACAGAACCACCTCCAACTTTCCAATATTTATAGTGTTCCATCCAGGCGAGGGGTGTGTAAAACAAGCCACCCTGAAATACAATCCCACTCCTTAGGGGATGAAAATTAAACAGCATGTTGGGACAGAGCAACTTCACATGTAGCAGGACTGTAGGAACCACAGCCAAAAGAGCCACACCCAGAGCAGATGCTGCATTTTTTTTTAAAGATGTTTGAACTACGGAGAACTGAACACAAAACACTATCTCCATGGAAATAATATTAATGCAAAAAAAGAAATGCAACTGGTATGTAATTGAGTTAGCTAACAACTGTTTTAAGACTGTTGTTTTTGGATAACTTGTTGACACAGCCTTTTCTTTCCACATAATTTGACATGACTAAAAAAAAAAATTAAGGAACAGCTGCACAAGGTGACAGATTTTTTTCTCTCTCTCTCTTTTAAAGTTTGACAATGAGCTAAAACGTGTCGAGAATAAAAGCAGGCTTTCAAAAAAAATCTAAACAGCACAGATAAGATTGTGAGAATAAAGTTGAACTAAAGTTTGACATTTCATACTATTATTGTTGCCTAAAAAAGTGAGAACTTACAACACAGCATAGTGGCAGGTCATGAAACCCCTTGAGACTGGCTAGCTGAAAATCAAATGGTATGGATACATTTGAAAGCCACTACATTTGTGGGCAGATATTTCACACGCTCTTTTTCACATCCTTGTAAAAACGTTTTTCACTTTTGCTATTAAAACAATTTTTCAACCTCCCTCTCATCATTCTGACTTCAAAAACTCTCCATTTTATTTCACTCCAAGCATTATGCTATGAAACAAGAAGGATTAAATACAATGCTTAATCATGTATTCAATGAGTATAAAATGCATTATGTATGTTTGCAAGACGTTTTGCAGATCACTCCATTACATGTTGAACATTAACCTCTATGAATTGTGCTCACTGATGTGCATCTGTGCATGAAGTCATGTGTTTCTACAGACCAGCTGACTGAGCAAAAATATTAGAATGAGGGGATTTCTGCCAATCGCACACATGTGTCCAGCAGTGCCCTCAGTATCTAATTTCAGTAAAGACATTAAGAGGCTTGAAATATGATATGGGTGCACTCTGCCTGTGAAAACAACATTACAGAGCAATACGCTAACGGGTGCAGTGTGCTTCAAATCATAAAGCAGCACATTAGGAAACATTTTAGGAGTTTAGTGCCTCATAATATAGTCATATAGTCATTTTTTGACAATTTGGAACCAGGTATAATACTCTGTGTGTTTGACTTTTGAGTAGTTCACATTTTTAAGACAAGACTTTCAATAAATCTTGATGGATCAGAATGAAAAAAAAAACAAGTGCTGAAGCTCTCACTCTCTGCTCATACCTTTCCAGTTCTGGCCGCAGGGTCTTTTCTCTCTCCAGCATAGCAACAATTAATTTACCCCATTCCTTCTCCACATCATTTGGATGATGGCTCGGGGGTAACTGAATACGTCCAAACTCGATCCACGTCTGTGAGACCGACAGCAAAACCAAGCTTGTTATTGGTGTGACACACGACGAATGGCAGTGAAAGTTAAAGAGAAAAGAAAGTTGTTTTCCGTTTTCCATACCTCCAGCATTTTGTAGAGATTTTGGATTTTTGTTTTCTCATTTTCTTTTAGTGGTATTTCATGTTCTTTGAACTGCAGATACTGCGTATAAAGTGCCTGAGAAAAGAAGTCGGAAAGTGAAAATGAATCTGTTTAATTGCTCCACAGGACAATGACCCTCTTATAGCATTTTTGAAAATAACCACCCCTCTTTGCAACCACCCTCACAACCAGCTCCACATATCCCTCAGGAATTACTCTGTCTGTTGCAAGATATCGATATCCTACAGTTAATGGATGCTTCTTCTTTCCAAAATCCATCAACTGTATCTACAGCAGCAGATAGGGATCACATTATGCTGTTTGAAGCAGGCAATTAACCTTGACTGGACAGATATCTTGCTGTATGCTACGTACTTCCATCTAATCAGTTTTCTGTATAGTAAAAGACACAAATCTAGCCATCCTTTCAAAACCTTACAGTCAGGTTTACTACTACTACTACTACAATTACTTGTTGCAAGGTAAAAGTGCTACCAACTACAATGTTGAAGTGCTGGTGGTGCCTAAAATTTATAAAATATAGAGAACCAAACCTTGAGTTCCACAGGATTGTTGGGGAAAGATCTATCTGACATAACGGCCACATTATGTTTTATCCACTGGCTGAGGTATTTGATCATGTTCTGGTACTCCACCCATTTGATATCAACGTCCTGTTGAAAGACAGAGTCATCATCCATCAAGCAGCTGTCAGCAGTTTTTTTTTTCCTTCGTGTGTGTCAGTGCCACAAACTTACATTAGGATTTATTCCATCGACACCGTCCGGTACTTTGGGGAAGGCGTCATACAGAGTTGAGACGTATGTAATCACAGACTTCTCATCCGGTGACTGAACATCAACGTCTGATGAGCAAAGTTGAAACCAACAGGTCAGGAAAGACCATATAACATGCTGAGAACAAACATGTCTTCTTTGATGGTTTTAAGGTAATAAAAAATAAAATAAAATTGGTCTATCAAGGTCTTAGAAACTGGTATAAACAAGTTTGTATGAACAAAAACATTTTGATAAATGTGCTGTAATCTATTTAATTTAAGTCTCAGCTAAAATGCACTACAGGCCTTCCTCCACAACAGAGCCAGCCATGAAAATGCAGGCTAAAAAGCATGGCCACCATTGATGGCAGATAAATAGCTTTCCTGTTTCCTGGTTGTATCTCCACCATTAGCATAGCTGCAACAAACTGGGAATTTTGAGCTTGAACAACAATTGGAGGTCTGCAAGACATTCCTCATGGATCTGTGTGGTTGTTTCTGATTGAGAGCAGTGCATTTCTGCAGATCAGAGTAGGATCACTGGACGGAGCCAGTGGAGCTTCATTTTTTCATAACAGGTAAAAAGCACATATTTATCCCAACTGCACTCTAAAGGTTAGATGAAAATGAGCTTCTCACAGTTCTGAGATAATTTCTGACTCAAAGGTGCAGAGGGGACACCGTACAGGTCTTACCCTCGGGGTCGAGCAGCTTGGCCACCCCCAACTGTTCAGCTACGGTAAAGGCCTGCTCCAGATTGGAGCGGTTGGTCTGCGTCGACACCCGGCTCATGTCGACCAGATCTGGCCTGAAGTAAGAGGAAAAAATGAAAAAAAAAAGTTGCGTTAAGCCCATATGAAATAGTCCTAAAGAGTAGTCTCATCAAACACATTACCATTCTGTGAAACTGTACCTGTATTTGTGAATGATGGCATTAAACAGCCTCCCATCCCTCCAGGAAGTGGTGAAGTTGTCACATCGTACGCCTACATAGCCATCTGTTATTTGTTTAGACCAGAGCAGTAGTCTCTCCTTGGCCGTCATGTCCTCAGACTCCCCTGTGACGTGGATATCCGAGATCTACCACAGAGCAGAGGGAGCACACTCATTCAAAGTATCAGACCATACTAGCAAGGTGTACCTAATAAAGAGTCTGGTGAAAGTACAAATACTTGTTTCAATGTACAGGCTGCTGCAACTACAACTCCAGATTTCTTCTGATCATGTGGTTTCAAGCATACCCTTCATCGCCTTTAATGGCACAGCTTCATCCAAGTTCATAAAACATCCAAAAATGTTTTATGAATTTTGGCAAAATCTGGAGTCACAACATCTCACAATCTCTCTGATTAAAATGAAGTTTGTGCTACTCAGTTGATGTCATGGCATGTGAATAAATATGGTGAAGTATTCTAAATATAAGCTAATATTATGGGCACTGAATAACAGAGTTTAATGCTTCAAGCTTGACATCTGTATTGTATTTGTGTACGTCTCTTTGAAGAAAGAAAAAAAGTAGTTATTGAGTTTGTCTGTTTTATTGATTGACTTTTTATTGAGAATCAGGAAATAAGAAGCCTACATTTCCAACAGAGTACTTCAGTCTGCTGCTGCAATATGATGTATAGTCTCTTTTTGTTTTCCTGGTAGAGAGAACCATAACTTAATTGCAGAAATAGACCAGCTGATTGTCTCTGCTGAATTACTCTCTCCTAGTCAAATGTGCTTTGCTTTTCATTCCAGAGTTTTTCATTCCAGAGATTTGAGCCAAGATTTTTGGAAAAAATCTTATCTAAAATAGGCGTGTTTCTCTACTAGATAAAGCCACTAAAGGAGCTGCTGCTGCCACTAACCCAGCTTATGTTTTCCTTAACTTAGGAAGAGCTCCAGGATCAGTGCTTCCATATTTATCCACCCTGTCTTCTAAAACCTCCAGTCAGTTACGGGATACGACCATTTACACAAAGCTGGATTCCTATGGAGGATTGTTCCTGTTAAAAGGTAGTTTTCCTTTCCACTATTGCCACGTGATCAGTATGAAAGATTGCTGGAAGTTTAACAACTCGATGCAATCAACTGTCCACTGTTAGTGTAACGCTCATGTCGGAGGAGGCCGAAACGCTACAAACTCAATTGTTTCAAGTAATCAACTGGGTGAAAGGCTTCATCATAACTATAATAGAATTATAACGTATGAAATTAGAATATAAATTTGAATGACTATGTTTGGACTAAATTGCTTCTGTATTTCTGTAAATACATGGAATGAGTTTGTCTTGCAAAGAGCATTGAGATGACACTAATTGTGAATTGGTGCTATAAAAATAATATTTATTCAGCTGAGTTGAACAGACTGTCTTAGTCCATTAGGCTTTAAATCTTCTGACTTCCTCTTCTTCCTCAGAAAATACAAACAACCTCTTAGCTCTTTAAATCCAGGACTTAGTGGCGCTTTCTTTACTGCTTATCCTTCTTTCTAAAGGAGAAGCAGCATTCTCCGTTAGGTCCACAAACACAGCCCTAGATGTTTTCCATGGTTGTCATATCTTTGACAACCTATCCATTGACAGTGTCTTTACTGTGCCCTGCATTTTGCAAGAACCATTCCAACATGTCCACATATTTAGGTTTTGATCTTTTTCTGTTCAGCTTTGTAAAATAAAACTTTCAGAAGAATCATCTTAAATCAACATTCCTCTCCCTGATAAAGTATAAGAGCACTTTAAAGGACTGATAAGATGAACAACTCTTATAAATCTAGATGAGACATAACAAAATAGGCATTAGATATTTGCAATTAAATATGAATCACTAAATGCAATGCCTCTCCTTGGCAAAGGTCGACAGGTCTCCAATGTTTGACAGAATTGCATAATAAATTCACCAACTATTTTACAGCTCACACTTGAGCATGAGCATGACGCATCGCAAACAGGTCGCAGTTAGAGTCCACTCCGAATACATTTCAACAATGTCTATAGTACTTGCTCAAATTTTGGAAACTTTGTAAATATTATGAGAAACCAAAAATGTGGAAACACTATATAAATGACAAAAACACCAGCAAATCAATAACAAAAAAGATAATAATAATAATAATAATAATAATAATAATAATAATAATAATGAGTAAGCAACAACAAAAAAGCAACACAAAGCAGATACAAAATACACTATGAGCAAATAACCGCTAAGTGTATGTTTTATGCAGGGAAATTTAAAATGAGAGAAATAACTATATCAACCACTGTAGATTTAGTGCTTTTCTTAATTTGTGCAAAAAAAAAAAAAAAACAATCTAACTTTTATTTTAGCTTCACTTGAAATTTGAGAGACAGATTATTAAACAAACATTATAATATGTTATATACAAATTAAACAATAAGTACTTGACCCCCTTCAAACAACAGTTTTTCTTTATCCAAGTCCATAAGAAGCATCATGTTAGGTATGTAGTAGACTTATTTGTTATATCATTATCAAATTCAACAACATTATCAAATATTACATGTTTTCATATGATGCAGCTTTAGACAAGCTTAACTTAAATCTGTCAGAGAATATGACTAAAGTATTTAGAGAAAGATTGGGATAAAATGCCGAGATTAGATAAAACCAAGTGCAAGTTCTTTATTATCAACTTATCTTGCTGAGTCCAGGTAAAATTGAGGAGTAGCAAAAAAAAAAGTACATTCTTATTGTATTCAGATCTCAATTCCACAGGAAATAAATCCATGAGTAACCAATCACCAGTAAAGAAACATAAGTTGAACCCACCAATTTTGACTATCTAAAAGAAATCTAAAATTATGTTTGGCAATGAAGAAGCTACATTTTTAATATAGCAGTAGCGCCACCTTATTATAAACAGACACCATCACTGTTCAGATGCACCACTTTTTCACCCTGCCCTGAATCCCACCCATGGTAACTATTTATAGCACTCTCTCCTTTTACCTTGTGTTGGGTGGAAACAGACTTGGCAGGAGCTGGAGCAGGGTCAATGTAACCAGGGCAGGTGTATGTCCTGTGTCTCCTCCTTCTGTGTGCTTGAGACCCACATATGATCTTTGCAAACATCTCCTCGCTCCCAGGTATGTCATTGCCCTTCAGAGTTCGTAACATGTGCTCCACCGCTCCGAAGCTAACAGCCCGTCTCAGCTGGCGCTGCAGGAGCTTCTTTACAAGCAGACCATCTTTGGCCGAGACATTCTTGGAGTTTGCACTAACACCGTGGAGCTTTCCTTCAACAGCTTTCCTGCAGATGTGATCATCTTCAATGTCTGCAGACCTACACGCCATCCTTGTGTCAAGAGGTGGATTACCATCGCCTCTGAGGACAATAACTGGTACCTCTCCAATATAAACACCTTCGCTGAGACTACCTTGCCTGGTTAGTTGGTTCTCCACCTGGGAGAGTTCATTAATCTCCGTTTGGTTTCGCTTAGAGTTGTCTTCTGAGTCATTTTGAAGCTCAGAACTATTGCAGACAGTACTGCTTCCGATGAATTCACCTGGGGAACTCCTACTTGGTGCATTAGGCTTTAAATCTTCTGATTTTCTCTTTTTCCTCTGAAAATACTGACGTCCTCTGAGTTCTTTAGATCCAGGACTTAACGGAGCTTTCTTGGGGTCAACATAGCATTCTTCTTTAGGTCCACGAACACAGCCACAGATGTTTCCCATGGCTGTCAGATCTTTGAATACTCTTCCATCGACAGTGCCGGAACCCCAAACAGCAGAGGGATTTAAACATCCAGTGAGCTACCTCTCAATCTATAGAAGCATTATCCCACTGACGGAAAGCCATTAGATAACTAGAGCAGAGGAACATAGAAAAGCAGCTGCAGTCTGGCAGAGAGACAAGAAGCTCTGCACTCAGAGAAGTCGACTTCGTCCTTTAACTTCCTGCTGAGAACCGGACAGCCTTTTCTCACGCTGCGCCTCTTCCGTGCTCTCTCCTCTTACACTACAGTCTTTGCTGACCTTTGAAACATTTTCCCAGCTTTGCTAATCCGGCGCAAACACCATAAATGCACACGCAGACGTGACCCACGTGCTTCTGGCAGTCAGCTGGCCGAGAATGAAAGAGACTTGCGGACAAACCAGTTTAAATCTGGTTAGTCTGCTTTTTTCCCTCCCCCCCAAAAGAATAAGTCCACACATAACAGCTATTTCTAAATTTCTTTACAACAGTGGCAACATACTGTGAAGCAAAAGCGACATATTATGCTTTTGCACAGAAATTGTGACCTCATGAGCTGGAGAGAGTCTCACAAGAGTAGGAAGGATAATTGAAAATCAGAATGGTACTAAAAGAGCATGAGAAGCTGGACAAAAAGTCATTTCACTTTATTTATCGATCAAATTACAATAGCTGTGCCAGAGGAGGGGTCGGGGGTGAGTCCCAGTAGACAAAGCAAACATTACAACAAAGTTTTGAAAGTCGCTAATAGTCTGATCAGGAAGTGGCTCAGTTTATAAAACTATTAGAGCTACTAGAACCGTCTGGCAACATGTTTAATGAGCATCAGGGTAAATCTAAAAATACTACATGTCCCTGTGAAGCATAATATTGAAATTTCTCCAGAGGTCACAGTCACCGGACACTTAGTACAGTCCAAATAACAGTTCATCTTCTAAAGATATAGCATAAAAGCAGATTGGATCCTATTTGTTTTGTATTATTAGCTTATTTCTCCAGATACCAGCAAATTATAAGTTAATGATATGCAGCAAGACTTGCTGTTCCGGTTGCAGCATTCTTCGTTAGCGACTGAGTTTTAATAACAGCAAAATTAAAGAGTGACTCATCAACCCACATTTATGCTAGCTACATAATGACAAAATAGATGCATTGCAGAGAGAAGCAGTGACACAATCAGGGCTAAATAAACAAGGATGTCACACAAGTGCCTAAAACCCCTGACGTTAGTGAAGTGCTACAGCGGTACCATGGCAGCAGCCAGACTCAAACATTATGATTCCCACATAGAAATGCAGTATCTAAGAGTACACCTTTGGATGCTTTGTTACAGCACTGCCCATATCCCTGCTCAGACAAGACTAAAAAAAACGAACTTTGTATGAAATAGAAAGTTGAAAATTTGAAACAAAACTTAGGTAAGTTTTAAAAATTAGCCTTGAGCAGTAAGACGAGCATGAACACAATGTTCCTCAGGTGAAGAGTTTAATCTCGGATTCCTCTGTCAGACATAGTAAAAATAAAGCATTTATTATAAAATTCCTTCTGTTGACGCCTGTCAGTTTTCTGTCAGTTCGGTTTTTTAATAAAATACAGAGATGTGCAGCTTGAATGAAGTTCAACATTTGAACCCATCAGGTGCCCTGATGTCCTTGCAGAGCAAGAAGAAACAGGCCCTGTGCCGCACCGCCAAACGCTCCGGGGCCTGCGTGAGACGGACAGCGGCAGGTGTTGGCAGAATCATGGACGCTACCTGTCAGCTTGTCTGAGTCGAGGCAAAATTCAATCTGCTGCTTTCACTCGGTTCATTCAGGCGCTACAGAGCAATCAGATGTGCACTAATTCTATCCTTAAGATCAGAGAATAAACACAGGCTCAAAGTATAAATGACATATTGATTTAAAGTAATTATGTCCCTGATTCAAAATTATGAAGATTTAAAAACCATACTGTCTAAAAGCAGGAGAGAATCGAAGTACATATGAAAGGAAGAATTTTTTTGGGGATAGTTGCTGAATACCTCACTGGGCACCTGGATGTTCATGTGACATGATTTATGTAACAGCATTAGGGTGATTAAGTGTTCCCAGAGGGAAAAATTTTTAGGAGAATACTGAGGATCTACAGCACCATATAACTCAGTTGAGAGTTTAGAGTGCACAGCATATTTAGAACTCCTCAAAAATAACACAAAATGCCTCAAATGATTGCATGTATCAATATGTACAAAACAGAATTTTTTTTCTTGTAAAATGAAAGGCAGATTTGAGAAAATACAAAGTAAACAATGAATATGGTTTTTCACTTGCTTAGTCTATTTGAATGTAGAGATGTTTTGCATAATTAAAGAACATTTAAGAAAAAGGTCATTTAGAACTAGAGATCTTCCTAAAGTAGCCATTTGTAAAAGTACCTTTTTATTTATCTCTTTACAACTACAGACTCTAACATATTAAAAAATAATAATATTTTTTGTTTTGATCAACCAAAAATAGTGTACAGTTCTAAAGTTAAAAGAAAATGACTCACAATTTTTTTAATTTTCTGTAAATAAAAATCTGAAGGGTGTGGCAAGATTGTTTTACCCGATCCCATTTTCTCTGACTTCCCAAAATACCTATCATCTGACCTCTGGAGAATTGCACCTCAGGTGCAGACATGGCAAAAAAAACAACAAAAAGAAACCACAAGCCAGCAATCTTGAAGTAAAATGTGTTAAAGGCTGCAAAATGCTTAATTCCTGTAGTGGATAGTCACCTTCCCTAAACACACAGCCGGAGTTAAAATAGAACGGTTTAGCTCAAACTATATTAAGCTGTGAGAAAGGCCTTGTCAATGTGCCGACATAAATATAAAGACTTGGAAACTGATGGTCACAGAAAAAGGCAGCATTACAAAGTACTTTTACCAACTTTCACTTACAATTATAAGCATTTTTTTGAAGGACTATTACATAAAATCCAAATGAAATAAATCAGTGGCTGCAAATGTGATGAAACATTAAAAAGAACTTGAAGAAGTGCAATAGTTCACCAGTGAAGTTTTATTTTTTATTTTTTTATTAATGAGACTATGAGTTCATTGATAAGAGATAAAAGAGTCATTGAAAGAAATCAAGCTGTGTTACTACGGAATGAGATCCATCACTAACCTGAAAGTGCAAAATGATGGTCCAGATCAATCCCAGGGTCAGCTTTGGATTTCCGTCAGTGATGTCATCGTTCCTGATATTTACAAGTTTGACCTAGAGATATAAGGTCTACAATCAGTACAACACGTCCTTATATGTTTATTAGTTGCAATAATCACACACAAAATAACTGCAACTATGTTTTGTTAAATTTTCCTGGTCATGTGTAACAACCACCACAAGGTGGCAGCCTAGTCTAAAACTTCTGAATGGTAACGTTTCAGGTGAACTCTGTGCAATAATGGCTTTACCTCAGGGAATTATATAAACTTGTTAGGACATTACCACATGCCAGAATCAGAAAGTGATAAGTATTTTAGAGATGTCTCTCAAATTGAAGTAGAGCAAAGTCTACAGTGTCTGGATTTATGAAGAGCCATCATTGGTTCCTGACAGCCTTGTTAAACTAGAATGGCTGTAATCACTCCACATTGAAGTGATTACAGCCTACTCATTGACTTCTTTAGATCTACTCAGATCTAAAGAAGTTTTAATAGCTAGATTACTTTATCAGTAGCAACACTGCACAAACACATTTTGTTTCCGATTTAGCTGGAATAATACATTATCTCATCTGTGGTCTTCCATGAATCCTTTGTTTGTGGCTGTACGTCACATCTGGCTACAGCTCAATGAGGCTGTGTTCATCTGTACACCCTGCGTACAGCCGAGGGGGAGGGGATGCAACCGGAGAGCTTTAAAGTCTCTCTGCTGGGAATTTTAGTCTCCACAAATTCAATGGTATCATTTATGTTTAGAGCAGCTAAAATTAATTTAAGGTATTATAGGGAGTTACAAAAGAAGTTAAACAAATGAACGCATCATTTATTACTAAGTAATGGTCATCTCTTTGTGGTCAAAGTAAGGAAATGGCTAGTCATCTCAAATTATAATATATCTGCACACATAAGCATTTTATTTTAGGTTTAAAGTTATTTGTAAATTTTACCAACATGTTTCTCCTGTCTCAGTGTAATAACATTTTTGAGAAGGCCTAGTCTGAGTTTTGATTTGAATCTGTGGGAGGAGCTAAATGTGAAAGTCATAGGAAGGAGAACTTCCATCCTTAAAGACCTGGTGTTCATCAGCAAATATAAATAAAGAGATACAAAAATGTTTGCCCTCTTCTTACATTTTCTTGTCCTTTGAGAGATAACTGTCTAATTTTCTAGCAAAAACTACCATCTCTGTTGAATGTTAATAATTTAAATCTAAATCCGTGGCATTTACATTCTTTAAGTGAATACTGATGTTATGCTATTAGTTATGCTAGCCACTCTGATCAAGCTAGCTGCTACAAAATGAAAGGAAGCTTATTAAAATGTCAGCTCAGCAGTTAAGTTTTCCTTTTAAATTTTAATACTGCATTGCAACTATTCTTCTCTTACATGTATAATATAGCATTCCATTGGCTACTATCAGAAATAATTATTGATCATTCAGATTAGAGAAGGCTATAAAGAGATATTTTCTTTATGGCATTTTTCCAATTACAAGAAAAAACAAAAACCTGAAAATGACCATCAACAGGTCCTTTACCTGTCGCCTCTTTAAATAATCCAGAGCTATTTGTACATTTTGGAGTCTGTGGAAGCGCATCCTTCCTCTCTCCCGAGGCTGTAGAGATAAATATGGAAGAACAGCTGTATGCTTAATCAGATACTTAAAGTCAAGGAAAATAAGGTGGGAAAATGAATAGGTAAAAAACAAATGACACAGAACATGCATCTTACCCCCACATCTGAAGAGGTAAAAAAAAAAAAAAAAGTAAAAGAACAAACAACTGACAGACGTGGAATCCACAACAATTGTTGCCATTTTAAATCCACTCAAACTGTGTGCATAAGCTGAATAAAGTGTGGTGAACCACCCGTGTGCTGAACATTTTCCATCTACTCAAGCCATATAGATTAGTTCAAAACAAATCAAATCTCAAAACCAAAAGGAAAAGCGACTCTTAAAGCCAAAATGGATGAATGAAATAAATCAACATCCATTCGGATCTCAGTGCTACCGATGATTATATAGTGCTGTATTATGATCTTCTGTGGCAAATGCTCATGAACGGCTACGGGCCACAGCATGATGAGGTAATGAAATGGAAAATGCATTCGAGCCAGGATGCAGCAGCAGAAGCAGCAGTGAAAGGCTTGAACTGCATCCAGCCATCCTGTCCCTCTCTGTAGTAAAGCAACGGTACTAAAAAAAAAAAAAAAGTTTAGTGAAGGCCATTCAGAGAGCTTCAGCAGCTAAATATTTCCAAATCCACAATTTAAAGGCAAAGAAAAAATTAATCATCATAGAGGTTCAGACAGAATTAACTGTATGACTTCATGATGTGTGGAGCTAGTGATGTGGATGTGAAAGCCTTCAAGGGAGACTTTTTCAATGCTTTTTATACATGGGTGTGGCTGATCACGTGTTGCAGTTTTTGTAAAGAACTGAAGTGAATGGTCCCAGGAAACGCTATGCATTATTTTTATTGCACCATAAAATTTAAACATAATTCCATTATGCCTTCATCAAAAAAGTCCCAAAGCAAAAGTGCCTTAAAACAATGTGGAAAAAAAGGAAAATATGTTCAACAATGGGCAAAAAATGTCATCATCAGCTGGAGAAATAACTACACAGGCCTGTAAGAAAAGAAACCGTATTGTATGGATATTTCTATGCTTCTACTCAAATGCCACAACATGAGCTGAATTAGTGGGCTACTGTAAGGGTGCAAGCCACACGTACCCCCTTATCATCATCATCATCATCATCATCCACCGTGTCTCCATGCTGCTCAACCGCACATGCTTCTCTCCCACTCACCAACCGCAACGTCTTCAGAAAATCACGCTCCCTTTGCTTTATCACCGAAAAGGCAACACATAAGGAAGAAAAGGAAGACATGGACACACACATACACACACACGCACACACACACACACACACCAACAGAGCCACCAAATCATAGGAAAGTTGGACAACGGACAGAAACCAGTCAAAGAATGGAGAGAGAGAGGGATGAGGAGTAGTAGGGAATAAACAGAAAAAAACAAACAAGTGCTTAGAGGATGAACACAACACTGATGTAAGAGGGGGGATGCCAGTATTTGGATGAATGAAAGAAGTGATCAAATGAAAGTCTCATACACTGATGTAGGCAAATAGAGTTTTTAGACATATTTTAAAAATGAATTATCATACTTAGAATTCTGCATATAATCAGAACCTTCACAAATTAGATATCACTTTCACTATAAATCCTTTTTCAATTTTCAATTTTGTTAACAGATGCAAATTATTACATTATAGAAAGACAAAAATTCCATTAACTATTATTAAATTTGAATTGGAAATCAGACACTTTGATCATTTTCTTTTTGTAATACCATTTACTTATTTTTTTTCATTATAGCTTCTGCTCTACATTGTTTAAATAGAAACAGTACAGAGCAAAAAAATAATAATCCTGAAAATTCTGGTTTACAGAAAAACAATCTGCAAACATTTAGGCTCCAAATTCAACAAAGAAAATAGTACGCAGACCTATCTTTTAGACCTGTCAGTATACTGTACAACCTACACAAACCCCGCTCTCATATTGTTGTTAAACTGATGAAGATAACGATAGTGTTTCCTCTTCCACAGGAAAACTCAAACTGGTGGAGGCAAATTTACAAGGTAAATTTGTAAATTTACAAACTTAAATTTTACAGATTTTAGAATTTGTGGAAGCATATAGAGTGCAGAAGTGATACATTTGGCCATATCAATATGATGCTATAGCAAAGAAAGCAACAGAACCTGAACTATCAAGTTTAGTTCAGGAGAATTGTGTTTGTCTTCACTCTGAAATGAGGTTATAAAAACTTTCTGTGATCCATTAACACTGATGTCGTACTGTCTTGACCTTGAGATCGCCGAGTGTCTATGCATTCCATACAACATTAACAACTTTTTCTTAAATAGGTTTTGTTGATCTTTTTTTTAAAAAATACACTTGTAGTATCTTGCTGCGCAAAAGCAAACGCTAAACAGAGCATTGGGTAACACTGTATATAAGGAAAGAAATTAGGTTTTTGTCTTAAATATCAAGGGCAATAACACCTTCAGTCCAATCATTTACAAAAAAACAAAAGCAAAACAAACAAAGCAACATTTAGAAATACGTATCATGTAATTAATGCAGGAATTTTATGTTAATATGTTAAATTTTCAAAAAAGCATCTAATATTTGATGTTTTACCAGCAAAAAAAAAGTATGTTTTTTTTATTTTTTTATTTTACTTTAGTGGATGGAGCAGAAAAGCTGATTACAGGGATTAAAATCCCAGGATTTCCCTCTTCACTAAGTTAAAGTTACATAAGAGCAAAGAGAAAGTACCAGAGCAACCACACTGAAAATGTAGCACAGTCTGTGCTGTATGACAAGATCTCTAGATGTCTGGGTTATCGGACGGATCTCTTTAAAAGTGGCGCTAACTTCAGTATCAAAATCCAATTTCAGGAGAGCCAAAAGATAATCAGATTTTATTCCTTGTAAATCTGAGCCCTCATCTTTTTAGGAAGCATGTAAAATAAAAAGCACAAACTCACCAGTGTGTCTCCAGACAAAACCTCCAGCAGTGAGATCAGGTTATGTCCATCTCGTAAGTCTTCATACAGGTCATTTATGTGCTTTCGTACCTGCAGAAACAAGAAGGAAGATAAAATGTCTGCAAGTTGCACAAATTACTGTCCTGCTGCTGTTTATTCACATTTAGAATTTATTTTATACATTACATGCGATATAGGATTTATTTGTTTAATATTCACACATTCTTACGCAAAATAAGGCAGTTTCATATACAAGTTTCTTTATTATTACTGAACTTTTCTACTTTATGGTATCCGAGAAGTTTAGAAAGACATTATTTCTATACACACATATTTATTTTATTATATTTACTGACAACTCAGAATCTCATTAACTCAACCATATTAAAATTCATGAAGTCTGGAATCATGTCTCTGGAAACCAACCGAATTAGCTTTCCCATTTCTACCAAGAAGTTTGCTGAAGGCTACAGAAAAGAGAGTATTTTTGTCTGTGACTTGCTAAGGGATATTTATCAAAATGCTGTTTGTATACGTTTGAACCTTTATACAACATTCTTACCCTGTGCAAATTTAGCTGAAAATTCACTATAAAATCCTCTAAATTGTCCTGACAGTACAGCCAATAACAAAAGTATGCAGAGAAGCATTTGTCATTAAAGTCTTCCAAGGTTATCAGCGTGACACTTCATCTAGCAACTTAAGAGAGGTGCTAAACAACAGCAATCAGAAACTCTGTCCTCCCTGGCCTAAATAGCATCCCCTTGAAATCAGTCAGCTGCCCATTGACCTGCTTTAACACAGGACTTTCAGGACTTTATTCCCTGATAGCAACCACAGCTGTGGAGCCAGAATAGATCAGTATGTTTGCATTATTGAGTCAGCAAAGAAAATCTTAACCTATAACTCAGCACCTCTAATTCCTCATTGACTGCATGTGAAACCCTTTGTATGAAGAGACAAAAGTACCAGGAATCAAAATAAAAAGATGTGTGATTGACATTTAGGCTAACCAAATGAATTAATGTGTCAATTGAATATGATTAGTGGTTTAAATGAATGAGCTGCACAAAGATATTACTTCAACTGTTGTGGTCACCAACATCGTAAGGACACAATAGGTCAATCATCTTGATTGGAGCATACTTATTCCTAACCAACAGTCTTGATGAGTCATGCTGGCAGGTAAGAAAAACCTATGCTTTTTTTATATTTTTTCTAATTTATTTTTCTGAATTGTGGCATGTTTGACACTCCATACTGACTGCTCCATACTCCATCATTATCTCTGAAAATGCATGTAAAAATTATGTACCTTAGTTAAAATAAAATGAAAATGGTTTTCAAACTTTTTTATTTTGGTATGCGATTTCTAATCCATATGTAATTCTAAGGAGGTAATTTCATTATCTCCTTATTTTTTTCCTGCCAAGATTGTGTCAAGGTTTACATAGCCTGCACAGCCGTGATTCCTAAAGCAAGAACTAAAACTAACAGTTTCGATGAGCCTCTAGCATCCTTCCAAAAACAAATTGGTAAATGGTTCTATTCACCACTGTCAATCTGCCTTAAACATTGAAGGAAGCCAACATCCTTGTCACGTAAAATCTGATCCTAATGATCAGACTGGTTGAACTGAATGTACAGCACAGGCTCTGATCTCAAGCTTAACTCTTCCTACTGTCTTTTAAAATGAATAACCGAGTCAGCAAGTTTGCAGTGTTTTCACAGTAATGTCTGCATTAAGCTGGAGATAAGAGGCTAAAAGGCCATCAGAGCTGCGTGACTTAATTTGACAAAGTGAATTTTATTTTTTATGCTGTAAGTGGTACAAAGCAGTGAGTTATAATCTGTCCCACAAATATTGTACATTTTTAAAATGCTGACTGGGGGACAATTCAAATTACAAGTTAATATTTCAGAAAAGTATTACAATTGTGCCTAATTGTGCTTTGTTCAAGAGATTTACTATTTGCTGGGTCATACTGCAGATACTCTGCAAAGTATTCTTGATGCAGTAGCACAAACAGCCTGACTGTCTCAGACTGATCCTTTGGACACTGATAGGTCACTGTGCTCAATGTGTTTAGTGGACCATATTTGCTGTTAGTTTATATCTGGTAATACAAGATCAGCATTCACGCTTTAATATTTACATACACATTAAACCACACTGGTTTAATTAGTTACGAAATCAAGACACTTTTTAGCCAGAAAATAAAACTTTAAACCAAAAGACAGAGAAGTGACAGAGTCTCTTTTCTGAGGAAAAAAAAAATCGACTTAGCTTTTATTCTTCTTTTGACATTCTGGCTTTGAGTTTTAATACAAAACGTTCTATACATGTTCCCTTCCTGTTGGATTAATTAGTTTCTAACAATGCCATTCAATTACAGGGAAAACATAGGGCTAAAGCAAACAGAACAGGAGAAACTGCAATGTAAAAAACAACATAGGCTTCTAAGGAAAAGGAGCAAAACTAGGGAAAACCTGTTTAACCGTTTAGCATTTATAAGAGGAACTTCATCCTAGCATTCTGTCTTGTCATACTGTAATGGAAAAAGATAGTATATCCTCCTTTAATGCCAGGGTTCTCCATAAAAAAAAAAGTAAAATTACGTGGTCCCTTCAGGTTCTAAAATGACTAAAGTAGTCGAGGTCTATTTAGTTTATGGCACAGTTTCTACATTTTGGTTTCATGTCTTGATACATAAAACTCTCAGTTTTACACAGGGTGTACTTCCTTTTTCTAAAGACTGCATGTCAGTATTAATAGATTTGTGTTTATTTATGTTGTGTACTTCAAGTAGTTGTATTTTTGTTCAGTCGTAAAGCCCCATGTGGATACTGTAGATATGTACTAAAGTCCAGTAGTTTTTAAAAGACTTCATGTCCCTTTTACGTTTTTCCCATTTTCAGTTTCCCACATTGACCCCAAACCAGAAAGAAAATCTGAAAATGTGACTTTCATTTATATTTATGCTGCAGTGTATCAGATTTTTCCCTTCTCCTCATCTACTCTTTTGATGAACTCTTTAAAATATCACTGAAATACCAAAAGGCTTTAGGATAAAGTGTGACAAACTGATTAAATTCAGCTACAAATACTTTTGCAACACACTTACATCCAACACAATGATTTCCTGCATGGTCTCTCCATATTGCAGAATCAAAACTGGTGTCATCGTGCCAAATTAATTAGCAAAGATCATCAAAGTTTCTGTTTTCTGCAAGGCTTTACATGTAATTCGCAGCAGTCAAATTGCAACCAATAAAATTCCTTCAACATTAACAATTTTATTTTTCTTGAACAGGTAAATCAGACGATAAAAGACGATTCAGATAAATCTCCTTTAAGAGATAGCAGTGAGTCATTCCATCCGATCACTGAAACGCATGCAAACATTTTCATATCCTCTCCATATCCTTCATATTCCAAAAAGGCGTGACAGATGAGACATGTCCATGCTTGTCTATTTTCTTAAGTGTTTCATTAAATTCCAAACACAGATGAAACCACGTAGTAAGCGTTTCACATTTACCCCTCAACAAAAGAAAACCTGTTGCTGCTGCAGAGCAGCTACACATGTCTTCCTAAATGACTTTCAGCAAGCTTTAATAACGTCTCAGGAGGAATGTTAACATGTTGGAACCTAACAAAAAAAAAAAAAAACTAGCAATAAATGATTTACTGTGCATGTAACATGAAAATGGTTTTGATAAATGTGACAGGAAAAAGACTTGCCCAACATATGATCAGTACAGCTTTCATATACTATCAGTTTTAATAAGCAAACATTTGCAAACTACTGCCAGACAGTACGTCTTACCTTGAATAGATGCTGATTTATCCATTTTGTAAAGGTCTTTTTCTGCACTCTGTCTCTTTCATCTACAAAAAGGAAAAACATCACAACATTAATTGTTTTCTTCTCCAGCTGTCTAGGCACATCTGTTTTTTTGCTAAATCCATCAAGACAGAAACCCCTTCAAGCAATGTGTGTTGTCTAAACTGTGAGTCACAACGTGCTACAAAAGTGTGGTTATAAGTTATGCTACAACATTTTCATTTGCTTGGGGGATTTCAAAGATTTACAGGTTCATTTTTTAAGCAAAATCTTCTACTTCTAGATTAACCCCGTCAGTTTTGTATTGACAAGACATTGTAAAGGGTCAAAGGGCAACACTGCACTAATAACATTATAAACAAAAATAACATAAACCTAGGTAACCAGTTACATAAACAAACATCAAATTACTGTTGTCACTTCAAAACCACAAAACTCCATACATTCAAATGTAGAATTATTTGTAAATGTGAAGCTGAAGAAAAATCCTAAATAAGCTTCAAGATCTTTGCAAAGGAAACCCTGAAGAGTGTAGCATGCTTATTTTTACTCTGCCTTCCTGTGTTAACACTATGCAGTGTAAAACATTTGTTGTAAATGTTTTACGTCTCACCTGTCTAGTGACAAAAATGTCACGTTTATTGGAGAACATCTGAAAACATCCCCAAGACTCAAGTCTTTCATTCTAACAGGTTTTCTTCCAGCATTGTTTTATATTTTGCTTTATGCATTTCACTTAAACTGTGACCAGCAGCCATGTTGCTGCTGAAGAAAAGCCTCCCCACAGCATGATGCTGTCGCCGCCATGTTTCATGTTGAGGACAGTGAGTTCAGGACAGTTGTTTACTAAATCACCTTCTTCCACATCTTTGCTGTATACCGTACATCGCTAAGCCAAATTTGTGAAGTTCACACCCAAAATCCTGTCAATACATAATGCCCATCTGAGCTTTGGTATTAGAGGTCTAATATTAACAGTCATTTCTTGGTAGGTTTGCAGTCATGTCAAAGTTGATTATTTTTTGTATGATGGATTGAACAGTGATCTATGAAATGGTTAAAGCTTCTGATGTCGTTTTATAAGCTAAATCTGAATTTATCCACAACTTTATTTCCTGACCTGTACAGTGTCTTCCCCTGCTCCAAATTATGCTGTTTGTTCACCAAGGTCTTCTAACAATCTTCTATAGACTCTATTAGTTTATCATTAAAAGTCTTTGGATATATACTAAATGTTCAGTTTATGAAAAAGTTAAAGTAGGATAAATTGCAAGTCACTGTGCAAATAATTCTATCACCATAATCAATCCCTTTCTTTCTAACATTTGTAACAAAACAATAGTTAATAAAAAGACAGAACATATTCTTGAAAAAACCAAAAACAAATTACCACAATTCAAATTAAAAAAATATAAACGATTGATGCAGAAAAAAAAAGAAGACATGAAGCAACGCTGGAACTTTTGAGGATGGGAAAGTGTTACCGTAACACAAATGAAGGTCGTGATTTCCCAGAGGCTAAGATGAAATCACTCTCAGCTACAAGCTGTCAAAAGCACCACAATGCTTTATTTGTTGTTTGCATCGCCATACCAACCAGACTGACATCACCCTGTGACAGTGACAACACCACTGTAAAAGCACAGGCATTTTAGGAAAAACGTAAACTGGTATCTTCAAATTCAAGTATCTATTTCGTTCGTGCAAACGCCAAGTCCTGGCTAGACACCACAGCAATGTGACTCATTCCAGTGCTTACATGTTTGCATACACTCTCCTCAGAGTAATATTTAGTGAATGCAAAAACAAAAACAAAAAAAAAAAGAAGCAAAGAAAAAAAAACACGTGTACATGCCGATATTAATAAAGGCAACATCTGTCAGCCAGCTCACGCTTGTCCCACAACTACCACCATCGTCAGCGGTCTCTGAGAAATATTTCCTGAACCCTAACAACACGACCAGCGGCAGACTTTATAAGTCTCCATGGCAGATTACATTTAAGTTTTACCCAGGCAAATCAGAGAAACCATTAGTGAGCAAACACTGACGGATCCAATCACTTAAGAAAACTGTAACATAAGTACTGACCCATGCAGCACATGAGAGTTACCAGATGTGCTCTGTGATCCCTTTCAGTTTCAAGCAGGTACTTCATCCTGTGTGGCAGCTTCCGACCAGCAGACAACAGGATAGCAGTCCAGTTAGACGAATGCCGCGTAAATGAACGACCAGAGAAGCTGTTTTAGTCTCTCCAAGCTTCCCTTTCTGCCTAACAGCCTCTGAGGGAGCTGCAACTCCCTCTCTCATCAAGGATCCAGAGCGAGTCCTGTCAGGTTTTCCATGGCTACTTGCTATTTTGAGTTTCCATGTGGTTTGGTGTTTATCTAGCAGCAACTCATGAAGGCAGTGAGGAAAGAAAGTTTTTTTTTTTTTTTCTACGAAAGCATTCGTTTTTAATGCCAGGATGATTTCAACTCGCCATATTATGACTAATTTAAAAGTGTAATTATGACAGAAGACAGCCTTATTGCTTAATTATAGTCAAACATGAATATATATCGAATTAAATAATTTATTTTTAGGCAAGAAAACAAAGGATTAAACAAAATTAGCTGTCTGGTGCAGTTGTTTGTGTTTTCTGTTAATCATTGCAGTCATCTAAAAACATTCAAGTAAACACAAGTCAGCAACCTGCATGATAAGATATGAAAACAACCAAAAGAGATGATAAGATTTATTTTTTAAAATCCAGTGTTCATTTCTAACAAACGATTGCTTTTAAAAATGAACCAAATGCTTTGTTGAGCCAAAGATTTTTATAAATTGATGGCAACTTTTAGTAAATGTTAGAAATTTTCGTGTTAAGCTGCGGAAATTATTGTAGCTTTCATTGGGCCATTCAAATTCGAATTGAAAAAGCTACCTTCACATAGAAAATCCTTCAAAATGGTCATAAACCCCAGAAAATGTATTTCCATAATGACAAGGGTGCTCTAAGTGTACTGTTAGTCTATCCTCCACAGATTTTTCCATTTAGTTCATCTAAAAATAGTCTATGAGTAAGAGGCACTGGGAATTGGAAAGTGGAGTGGTGTGACAATTATTCTGGATAAAAAATATCAAGCAGGAGATGAAATATTTTAGTGTCACATTATTCTCACTGTAATATTTCATCTTTAAGTAGAGTATACTTTCCTGCCAATCAAATAATCAAATATTCTATAAGATATAATTTTTATTCTATAAGATATAATTTTTTTTGCGTTTAACCTTAAATGACCCGATTCCAAATCCAAAGAGAAACGCTTCCGGACATCCTAGACAACCAGAACCATGAGGCTCCAGCCACACTAGCTGTTGTAATAGAAACAGCCAGTGTGCAATAGCAGATTGATCCACTGTTGAAGCGGAGGGGGGTTAAGGTGGCAGAATGATGGACAAAAAACAAAACAAAATTCCCCAAAAGTTGTGGAACCAAACCTGGAGCTTCAACCTTTTTCCCTCTCCAGACACTTTTTTCCTCAAAATTAACATTAGGGTTTTAGAACAGCAAAAGTAACTTTCCTCTGCACATCTGTGAAACACGTTTTTCTTAAATTTAGGGTCATAATCATCTAAATCCTTAAAAGAAAACAACTCTGATTCTAATTTGTCTACCAATAGTACAATTTAGGAGTAAAATAATGTCTGATGTATGGTGTGGTGGAATTTTTTTTTTTTCTGCCACAATATCAAACCTAATTTACTGTACTTGAGTCTAACAATAAGCAGATACTGACTAGTAATACATGTCCTTTTGTATCTCTCTAACCTGTAAAAAACTTTGAGATGGTTACCATTTTTTTTAAGAATGTAAAAATCAGGGTTGTTAATCATGAGTTAAGGCAAATTCATTTTACTACTGTTCATTTTTTTAAGGCACAGGATTCCGTACTTTTTGGCCCTCACATGCATTAATCACAATTAAATATTTTTAATCAGTTGATATCCCTAAAAATAAATCTACTCTTCTTTTTAAGTGAAAGCATTAGATTAATCTTCAGATAAAATACTTTAGACTTATAAGTTATGATGCTTATTTGATTTTAATAACAAATGAAATCGAATCCGATTTAAATTTTATGTTACAATGAAGTCAATTAAACTGAGGGTTAGATAGCAACATCACAAATAAAATAGCAAAAATTGCTAAAGCTCAAGAAAATATAAGATATCTAAGGAAAATGCCAGACATTCAGCAGTTCTGCTGTGTCATCTCTGATCCTTACATCATCGTGTAGTTGAACCACAGATGGGGAAAGCTGCTCAGACTGAAGAGGGACACCGAGTCATACACTGCATTACATTAAAATTCATCCAAAAAAGGAAATAACATAGACAAGTTGCTTCCGTATTCCAGGAAACTGCCCAGCTCAGATCAAAGGTCAGGTCAGAAAAAGAAACCATCAAGGAGAGAGACAGTAATGATTACCATGCTTCATATGTTGACAGTTCACTGATAACACACACACACACGCACACGTGAACACACACACTCTGATAGATTCATGGCAAACACAGACACATCAGCTGGTATAAGATAGCATAACAGTAATAAATGTATTATTATTATTATTATTATTATTATTATTATTATTATTATTATTTCTACCCTGAATGTCTGAATGCAATATATTGTGGACCAGAAAAAATTAAGAAGAGCTGACCTGCGCCTCCAAGAAAAATATTCATGGAAGATTTATATTGTGGTGCCCTCTGGAGGATTTTCTAAGAATAAAAAGCAGGATCCTTGGTAGTTCTCCAAATGAATAAAGGTCATTTGATGTTTGGCCATGAAGTGAACAGAATGGGGACCATATCAATATAACAACAACAAATATATGATACCAAACAGTGCCAAGGTGAGAAGTAATGTGATCATTCCCATAATCATCTAGTATTACACAACCTCAGCACCTTTATCACACACATTATAGTTATCCAATCTTACAAAATCAGTGAGCAAACAATTTGGTACTTAGCTGCTCACCCAGTGTTTCTCT